CATTAAAAAGTCACATAAGTTTAAAATTATTAAGTTATTTTTTTAAGTCATAAGAAGTGATATAACATGTTTTGTTGTTTCAATCTGCTGCAATTTAATTTTTAAATTAGTTTGGTTAAATAAATCTCATCAAAAAATAAATAAAAGACACCACTCAAAACAAATTACATTAGCATATGACTTGGTTTGAATCTTTCATTCTATATTAGCATATGACTTGGTTTGAATTTTTGATTCTACATTAGCATATGACTTGATTTGAATCTTTCATTCTACATTGATTTTATGGCTTTAATTCAAAATCTTTAATTTTATTTTATATTCATATCCATAATCAATATTTTCAATCGTTTAAATTCAGATTTGTTGTTTAAAGATATGATTTGTTCACTTCCTTTAACTGATTTAGTTTTAGTATCACAAGCATATAGTTTTGTGATAAAATAGGTACTATCATAAAAATCATTTATAACACGAATAGAGGTCTCAATACGGAATCTTGTAGAGCACATCACTTTAAATCTTTATTTGCCTAGTTATATTTCTCATGTTATATATCAATTTAAACTAAACTGCTTACTACAATATATAAGAATGGTTCTTTAAAAAAAAAAAGTTTTGAAAAAAAATCTTTGTAACAACGAGCAACCTAGCTAGGTTTGGTCAATTATTTGAATGGTTTTACTTTTTGGAGAAATATTTTTAAGGCTGTTTTCTCGTATTATTGTTTTCATCTATTATTAATTTATTTTTAGAAGAGTTGAGTTCATTTAGAAAACGGGATCTTGTAAGTTATTCTTTTATGTCGTTTTTTTTTAAGTATATTAGATTGTTTTAGCAATAGCAATCTGTTATTTACAATATACATATAAACATTTTAGATTACATTTTAGAAACATTTTACATTACATATAAACAATTTAGCAATCTGTTAAATTTTTTTTACTATTCTATTCTGGCTGTTTTTTATCTTCATTCTAAATTTTTGTTATTGCAGATGTATCATTATAAGTTATATCATATATAATTATTTATTTCAATATATAATTTTAAGTATTAATTTTTTGTTATAATACTTCAAAAACAAAATGTCTGTTGAGGTTATATTTTTTAGCCGCTTTTTTTGGCATTGAATATTGTGTTGTTTTAGAAAAACTCGTCTCATGAAAGTTCTCACCAAATCAAAATTGCTCGAAGATGCGATTCTTATACAGTTGACGCGATGGATGAGCGTATCAAAACGTTGACCCACGAAGCTGCTCATTATCAAATGTTAGCAGCTCAGCAACGTATGGTTATTCAGTCAATTGAAACTGATTTGAAAAATCAACTTCAATTAAATGATGAACTGACAAAAGAAAAGGGGGCTCTAGAAAAATTAAAAAATGGTTGTGAATTAGAAATAGCTACATTATTAAACGATTTAAAAACAGAGCGAGATCTTGTAAAATTGCTAGAAGCACAGGTTGCTAGTTATCAACAAGATATACTTTACAAAGAACGTGTTTTAGCTGAAAAAAATGAAGCTTTGCAGAATCGAGACGAAATAATAATGGAGCTTAAAACTGCAAATTCTAAACCATCTAACTCAGCGGTAGACGATAAACGAACTATAGAAGAAACTAGACAGCATTTAATGCAAATGCAAGTTTCAAAAGAAAATCTTGCTGTTGAACTTGATTTGACTAAAATAGAATTGCAACATGCGAAATCGATGGCTGATACAAATAGAACCCAGCTTCGCATTCACGAACAGGAGAATACTAAGTTAAGAACAGATATAAATAAGCTCTATACAAACATGGTCAGTTTGCAAGAAGAACTTGTCCGCAGCCGTGAACAAGAAAGGTCTTTAACACACGAACTTACAGAGTTGCGTACCTCGCATGCACTTCAGACAGAACGCTTAAATGAAGAAATTAATGCTGAAAAAGTGCTTCTTGCTGAAGTCCGTGCCGAACTTAATGAATGTCGAACAGAACTTTCAAAAACTCCAGAACTAGTTGAACAATTCAATATAACTCACCAGAAGGATTGGATTATAGAAAGAAAAGAAATATGTGTTACTGAGAAAATTGCTGGTGTCGGTGCTTGGGGTAACGTCAAAGTAGGAAAGTTCCGTGGAACAGAGGTTGCAGTGAAGCAAATACATTTACTTATATTATCTCCTCACAATCGCCGACTTTTTGAACGTGAAATGAGCATAGCTTCCAGATGTAGGCATCCTTGTTTAGTACAATTTATTGGAGCAACAAATGACGATGGAACACCTTTGCTTGTGATGGAGCTGTTGAAAATAGACTTAAGAACACTTTTAGGGCGCCAATTTTTAAGTGTCGATGATTCCTTACACATTGGTTTTGATATAATTCGAGCACTCGCTTATTTGCATCAGTTTAAACCGTTTCCAATTATACATAGAGATATTAGCAGCTCCAACATTTTATTATATCGTAATGATAAGAATTGGAAAGCCAAACTTTCGGATTATGGAGCAGCTAATTTTGTAAGATTAACAATGACAAGGCATCCTGGAGCTCTTCTTTATTCTGCCCCAGAAGCTGGAAGTATAGATCAAACTTCAAAAGTATATATTAAAGTTTGTGTTGAGGAATTTTAATTGATTTTATGTATCTGTTGGTTTCAGTGTTTTAATTTTAGTTTTGGTGTTCATTTTGGTTGGTTTTAAAATTTTTTTGGTGTTTATATACTAATTTTTTTTTTTTAGTTGGATGTTTATAGTTTTGGTGTGTTGTTTTGTGAGATGCTTATAAGAGAGCTTCCTGTGCCTGAGAATCGTCAAGAACAAGTGGCTAGCATAAAAAATTCTGAGCATAGAAAACTAGTAAATGATTGTCTATTGGAAGACGTTAAAAAACGATTGGACAGTTTCCAAGTGTTGGACTGTTTTGAAAAATGGATAACTTAAAGAATTAGGTTATTCGTTGTTTTTGTTGAAAGCGCTACTCGGTTCAAAATAGTTCAAACTTTCAAGAAAAAAGAGTCTTCTTGCAATGTTTTAAAGTTTTTTTTCGATTTTGTTTTCAAGATCTCAAAATTATACCGAAGTTTTTATGAATATGAATGCGATGAGTATGGAGTCTATTATAGATTTTGAAACAAATAAATATACTTGAGAAAAAAAAATTTATGAAATTCAACCTTAAATTGACTTAATTATTTATTTATATTTTATGATATAGATACAATATCTTAATATAAATTCTTATTTTTAAAAACTTTTTGTTGAGGTTATTAAAGATTCTGTAGGTACAAAAAGTTTTTTTTAATGGTTTTGAAAAAGGTTTTTGACTTGAAAAAAATTGGTACAAAAATATTTGTAAGTACAAACTGTTGACGCTAAAATACTCGTTTCATATCATACTAATTACTAATAAATAAAGTATTTTTAACTAACGGGTACTGCGTCTTTTTTTTTTACGCGATGAATATTCATAAAGTAAATATGGTCCCTGCCAGTTGTTCGGAGGCCCCCTTACACCCCCCCACCCCTCCCTCTTAAAAAAAAATCTATATTATAGCACCAATTTCCTAGAAAAACAAGCTCTTTCAATTTCTAAAAGAACCCCTAAACTTGTAAATGAGCCCAATAAAATCGCTGCCTCCCCCTAAAATGGGGGCTGTCGGGTTGCCTAGCCACGGCTCTGAGTAAATAAGATAATTATGCTTCATATTGTTTTGTCATTTTTTAAGCACCGCACAGTGGGCCAAAATTCACTTTTACTGGACAAAATTCATAACTAATTTAATATTAGAGCTCTATTCACTAAAATTAGCATGAGTACTAATATGATGTCTGCGCTTTTTATGAAGATAATATTTTTTATTTCGTTGCTATGAATACCTTAGCTACAACCTATTTTTGTTATCTGCAGATATTTTATAAGTGCTATATTCCCTAAATTTGGCATGAGTACCAATATGACATCACACTTATTATAAAAGCGATAATTTTTTCAATTTAGTTGCTATAGATACTTACATTGCTTAGTTACCTGATACTTTCCTTAGTTACAAAGATGTAAGTTAATATTTGAGTATTCTATTGGATTTTCGACCCACTTATATTGAATAACAATTGATTTTTTAGGTTAATAATGTTTTTGCAATAATAAAAAAACAAAAAAATGTTGTCAATTTTAAATTACATCAAAAAATTATAAAACAATAACATCGTTTAAAGATTGTTTAAGTAATTGTAAAACATCTGAAGGAATTGCTTCATGATTTGTGTGGTGTGATGTTGATTTACGCGGTGATGAAATAACAGAATCACTGGAAACTAGAAGTCTATTGATAAGATCAGTATTTGTTGCTTTTTTTGGATCTTTTTTGGCTGAAATTTTTGCGATAAGATTTGAAATCTTTATTTCTAGCTTCTTGAGCTTCCTCTGACATAAGTCCGATGGGTAATGTAAGGTTTTTAATTATGTCATGTCCATGTATCAATACTTTGTGAACTGATTCAGCCATGTAATTCCATGGATAAAGGTACACATATAGTCTAACAGTGTCAAAACAATAATCCTTGAATTTTAAGCTGTCTATTTCATATCCTGAAGAGAGTGTTACCAAGATAATGTAAAATCTAAATATAAGGTTTTGATCAATACCCAGAATTTCAGCTGTTTGCTCTTTTACTGCCAAAACACGCCTTTAGGTATTGCCATCATTGCTTGTACCAGAACCACCACTTTTAGGGAAATCAACAAGTCCCATTTCGTTCATAAAATCAGTCTGAATCTTTTGTTTAGTTAGAGATGCCCTTTTTTTTGTGTTTGTTAGATCTTGCTTGCCACTTTTTTGTTTCTTTTTTATATGCAATGTACAAAACCATCTTAAAAAATTGAATCCATGCATGAAGAATGGAAAGACTATATTTGAGCTCTTTATTAGTATAATCTATATTAAGGATATCAAGACTATTCATATTTTTTGGAGAGACACCACACACTGAACAGCATTGGTATGAGTTAGTTTTCTCCAATAATATCGTTTGAACCTTTCCATCAATCATTGTTAGTTAAATAATACAATTCGCTTCAATAGAAGAACCGCAAACCTCTACTAAAATCATACCCAAACTTTCTATCTCACTTTTAATGTACTGATATTCTTCAATAACAGATTCCTTGGATTCTGTTTTATAAGCAAATCTTATGGGTCTGTAATAGGCTGTGGATGATGACTTTTGATTTCTCCAAATAGGCACCTTTTCGTTACTGTTGCTAAATCCAGTCAAATCCAATGGGACTAGACAAGTAATAAATAATGATTCTTCACAATTTAAATCTCTGTTCATGTCAAGTTCTGATAAAACTTGTTTATAAATGGCCAGTAGCACCATCAAAACCAGCCTTACGCGTGAATGTCAAGTGCCTTAGCACAGGTTCTTGAACTGCATAGATTCTTTGCAAAGTTGAATCATTAAATCTTTTAAAGGAACTGAAGCTGAATAGTCCTCTACTGTTATGTTTGAAGGAAAACATTTCAATTTTGCATTTCTGACATTATTGTAAGCGGGGTAGAGGTTATATTCTTTCTACAAAGCTCCGCATCTAATCAATTGATAGGAAGCTTTTGTCAGACTGGCATCAATTATTAAAGCCAGTGCTTCGTCTGCTGAATATTTAGTTGCTTTATCTGTATTTGAAATATTTAAAACGTTCTTGGCAGGACTAACAATAGATTCATCTCTAAATTTTTTATTAGCAGCAAAAAATAATTCACTGGATGAATGGGATTCAATTCAGCAAAATACATGCCGTTTTTTAGTTTTATTAGAACTATTATCAAATGCAACTGGTTTTTGACCACGTCTACTTGCAGTTGGTTTGTTGTTGTTTTTTCTGACAATTAAATATTCATTAAGCCAATTTACAAACTTCTTTTCAAAATTTTTAACAGTATAGTTTGCAGATCTCCACTTTTTTTTATACAAGTAAACAAATCGTTGAACAGCATGTCTAAAATCAACGTCTTTAAATTCAGCACATTTTGGTTGAATAAATTTCAATATATCTTCAGTAATATTTTGTTTTGAAATACTAAGATTGTTTTTTTGAAGAAAATTATGAATGTTTAAGTTAAATAAAACCATATCTGAATAATTCTTATAACAAATATTTTGTATTTAAAAGTTTAATGTTATAATATTTATGCCGCGTGGACTACTAATTCTTGTTAGTAATTAAGTTACTACAAATGTTAGTAATTAAAATTAAGAGTATTTAAATAACTGTTAGTGTTAGATTTTAGTTTACAGAAAATATGTTGTTTAGATGCTATGCAAAGTAAGGTAGCCTTAGCAACCAAAAATAATTAAACTCATTAATTTGGGAGTATGTGTTAAAATGAGATACACAACTCAAAAATTGTGAATCTCATTTTAACACATACTCCCAATATTGTGTACTTAGCGCAGATAAAATACTGTTAAAACAACGTTAATGTAAAAATGAGCTGTTGCCATGCAAAATTCAGTACCATAGCAACCAAGTTTAAACATATATAAAATCTGAACGGGGATTTAAGGGGACGAGGAATCAATTAAAACTTGATTGAAGCATCAAATAGCTTAAATATATATAAGACAGCACATGGCAAATTATAGTAATTATTAGTTATAGTGCGGCAAAAAATAAATTTCTTAAAGATTTTTTTTTTACTCTATGATTTTTAAAGTGAGCAGCCGTGGCGCAGTGGTTAGAGTTCTGGCTCAGAACCTAGAGGTCCGAGGTTCGACGCCAGCTCTAGCCCAATAAGTGACATTGGTACGGAAGGAGGTGTGAACTTCCTGTTAAATGCTCTCCCGCAGTGCTCTATGATAAGACCGCAAGGATTTCTGAGAGCACCTAAATACATACAACAACAACAACAACAACAACAACAAAAAAAGTATAACTGAGATAACATGCTATGCCATATTTATTTCACACATTGGTTTTTCTTATCTCTAAATACTCAAGAATAACATGTACTAATTATTTGTTTCAAAAACGTACCCTCGAGTGCCGAATAAACGGGTGGGAATAAACGGGTGGGTGGAAGTTTTAGTCAAAATCTAATAAATGGGGGCATTTTTTAACAGCTGTTAGGGTAGAGTTAGGCTGTTTTATCATAATTTCAATAGGATTTAATATGCTGATATAAGTTTTATACTTTGCAAAGTATAAAACTTATATTCAGCATATTAAATCCTATAATTAAATCAAAGCTTTGTTGAGAAATAAGCTAAAAGTTCATTTTTAGCAATTCGAGATTTAATAGGTCGACAATTTGTAAAACCTTTTTACACTGAAAGCTTTTGTTTTTATTGGTGACTGAAAATTATTTTCAAATTTTTAAGACCGATTTTCACTGAATTTTTTTTTAGGAACGTTTATTAGGAACTCGAGAGTAGATGTAATTAAAATATAACACAGCGTTAATGTCACAGTAAATTACTTATTTAATTTTTTATTTTTATTTTTTTTAAATATTCAAATGTTTAGAGTCCTGGTAACTAAGGGATTTAATATAAATAAATTATCAATAAATTTTACCTAATATATGATAGATTCTAAAATTAAATAAGTTTTCAAGGTTAGACAACAAAATTTTTTCCCATTTTGTCCACCTACTGGCCCACCGTGCACCGTAAAAAAACATTTGTTGAATGTTTTTTTTACGGTGAAATATAGTTCATTTTCTTAGATATCAATTTTGACGCCGTTTAGAAGAACATTTTTACCATTATTTTTTGTTCCATCGAAAAATCATTAAACAGAAAAATAATTTAGTGAAAAATAGGATTTAAAAAAATTGTGTTTTTGTATTTGTATAGAATTATATAGAGTTGTTAGTCCTTGGCCTTGCCTTAAGGCCAAAAATTAAGGCCTTGGCGTTGAAACTGTTGGCATTGGTCTTGAAAATGTTGGCCTTGATAGTTTTGGTCTTTAAAAAAAATTACATAAAATTAAAGAATTAAAATTTTCATTCTTCATTTTTATGTATTTTTGTTTTCGGTATTCATATATACAAGTATGTTTTCTTAATGACTTTGTTGAATTCTGCGCATTACTTTGGTTTAATTTTATAACATGTGGTTTTATTTTCACTTTCATTTTCAATTGCTACCTACTGTTTTGTTAAAAATTGGCCTTAACGTAAGGCATAAATTTAGGTCTTTGTTCTTGAAAATGTTTGCGCAGGCCTTGGCTTTAAAACACTTATTTTTGGTTTGACCTTAAAACTCTAGGCCTTGTCTTTTTAACTTTTGGCCTTGTAACATGTGGCCTTGGCCTTGCTACTTTTGGCCTTGTTAACAACTCTGGAATTATCCACAAAGCATCAAATCAAATAAAGTGGTACATACCTGATATTAAATAGTAGGGGTGTTCATATTTGACAAAACATTTTTTGGAATATGTATGCAAGCTGAAAAGATGTGAAATAACAATTGATTTCACGATACAATTTTGATTTTTCAAAAAACAAAGTTTTTTTCGCCTTGGTTACAGCCAATCAAAGTTTTGAGAAATTTGTAACTTTTCACAAGATTTCATTTTTCTGAAGGTCTGAGATACAAACATGTATAGCATCCAAAAATTTAAATTTATTATTTGCTGACGACTCTTATCTTTTTTATTTAAGCTACAATATTAAAAATATTTAGTAAAGAATAATTAAATTATTATGTAATTTATTACTGTATAGATTTTAAATTAAAAAAAAAAAAATTTATTAAAAAGCGATGATTGGATTACTCGTAAAAGACTTTTAATGTAGAAAAAACTAGATTTAAGCTGTTCCACAAACCGAATAAGGGTGATCAAATCATCTTGAAATTTTCTATTCTCTTTGTGAAAAAGTGATTCATTAAAAAAAAATCAAACAATAATTTTCTTATATTCACAATAAAAATAAGCAATTATTTACAATAAATATCTGTAATTTTTTTCCGCTAAATTTTTAGGTATACATTTTAAGAATATTTCTTTTCTTTAATTATATAAATATTTAAATTAATAACTTCAAATTATAAAATTTAATATTTATAAAAATATGTTTGAAGTAATGAAAATTGTATGAAAATTTCATTATGCAAAAAATGCAATTTAAAACGTAAAAGACTTCAAATTTTAAAACCCTAAGTTTTTTTTAATATCTCATAAGACCTATCAAATAATACATCATTGGAAAAAGTATAAAATATTATTTATTATATAATTAATAATTATATTATCATTTCTGGAGATTTATTTATCTTTATTTCAAGACTTATTTCTGGAATTCCTTTGAAAGAAACTCAACGTTTTGAAGTTGGATGCTGTAGATCAGTGGTGACCAAACCACTACTCGAGGCAAAAAAATGCCCGCAGAGACTTTTTTAAATGCCCGTTAAACAATTTGGATATTTAGGAGACAACCACTTTTGTAATATGATACTTCTAAATTTTACCACTCATAATTTTTATTTTTTTTCAAGTTGATTAAGGTGCCCCAAGAAGTCCTTACGGTCTTATCACAGAGCACCGCGGAAGAGCATTTCATAGGAAGTTCACGCCTACTTCCCAACCGATGTCGCAAAACTTGCCCAGAGGTGGGGTTTGAACACGGATCTTACGTTACTGAGACAAGTGCGCTACCACTGCGCCACGGCTGCTCAATTTTTTATATAATAATTATGTTGTTTTGATACAAATGATTATAATAGTTATTAGTCACCTATATTTTTGTAGAAATAAATATTTTTTGCCCGCAAAATTGTTTTTTAACTTTATTTTGCCCGTATCCTAAAAAGTCTGGCCACCCCTGCTGTAGACGGATGTATATCTAACATTGAAAATTAAAACACTTCACTCTTTATCTTAAATTTTATTATTTTTTTGCTATGAAAAAATATTATTAAAAATTATAAAATCGATACATTTTATCAGAAAAAAATACAAAACATGCAATTAACCTTATATTCATACTAAACCTCAAAGAGCGTTTCATAAATTAGTTAAATTTTTTTTTTTATCTTATTGCGTAATATTTTTTAAAGAATTCTAAAAATTTTAAAAAGATTTTGCTTAGGAGTCGTAGTCGGAATTGGAGTCGGAGTTGTACTCAAAAAATTTAAATTTGGAGTCAGAGTCGTTACTTTTTTTTTACGACTCCACACCCCTGGATTTTATTTAATAGCAGAACAGAACTTAATTTTCAACTATTCCACGATGAACGATATAAAGCAGACAAGTTAACTATCGCGCACAAAAAATCTACAATTTAAATTTTGCTCATTTTTTTTCTTTATAAGCATATGGTTTCTTATAAAATTATAAAAAATCATTTAATTTAGGACTTAGAGAGAGCATATGCCATTAGAGTGAATGCACCAAGTGACACAACAGTTCGAACCGAATGAAGTTTACTCCAATAATTTAAGTTCTCAGTAATCCACGAATCACCTAAAAATAAAAGTGTTATAGAATAATAATATAATTAAATAATTTATATATATACAGGATTGGCCGGGAAGGCGTGCGATTTTACGTCATAATATGACCACGCAAATACTATTTGATTTTACTTAACTTGACCACGGCTGTTAAAATGTTTTGAAAATTTGTATACGTTTTAACGTGCTAAAAAAATAAATCAAATCTTAACTATAAAGAAGATAAAAAAAAACTTATCGTTAAAGAAACAAATGAATCTTCGTAAAAAAAAAATAACAAAAAAAAAATAATAAAAAAAAAAAATAACAAAAATAAAATTAAAATAACTTAACTAAGCAAAAATAAAATTAAAACTTAACCTGTTCGCTGCCAACTACGAGTATACTCGTATTATGCTGGCGTCATTTACTTGCCAACTACGAGTATATTCGTAGTTAGCAGGATTTTGATATTTGCCAACTACGAGAATACTCGTAGTAAGCCGGCGTCATGAGTTTGCTAACTACGAGTAAATTCGTAGTTATACTAACTTATTTCAAATAATATTTGTACATGACTGGCTTTGTCTGTCTGAAAGAAGTTTATACTTTTTTCTTAGCTTCATATTTGATTTCAGAAAAGATTGAGGAAAAGGCGCCTATGATGGCATATTTAACTTTGAAGCTTCATTATTCAGTATCATGAAGACCAAGAAAAAAAGCTTTGATATGGATACATTCTTTGTAAAATGTAGAACAATAATAACTCTAGGAGTTTTCATCAGTTTTAGTTTTTTATTAGCTATTTTTATTTTTAAAAAAAGCACAAGTATGGCATCATAGGCAACTACTGCTCCTATAATGGCATAGGGGAGGATGGGGCTAGTCTTCTTTATTTAAAAGTGTTATAAAAATGTAAGAAAAATTCAATCAAAGTTATTTAATTCAAACGGCTTTCAAAAAAGTTTGTCTTTTTTTTCTTCTCAACAAAAACTTTAATGATTCTTATATAAAGTTTATTCAAGGGACCTTCGCTGTTTTAAGTTGTCGCTTATAAAATTAAAATTTTTTCTTCAACTTTTACTGTTTTTATTTTTACTTTAAAAATCTTATATATTTTTACTTTAAAAATCTTATATAATTAAGTAATAATAATTAAAAAATTATACAACTTTCAATGATACTTTGATTTTAAGCGTTTTGCTGATATAAAAAAACGTTAGTAAAGATCAACGTGTCGAAGTAATTTATTTTTAACGTAATTTAAAAACCAATTGTTTCAGTCCATTTGTTAAAAACCGTGGTTAAATCATCAAAACAAAATATTACTTGCGTGGTCATATAAAGACTTGAAATCGCAAGCCTTCCTGGCCAAGTCTGTATATATAATATATATGCATAAATAACAAATCGGAGCATTATAAAACTCGTTATAGAAAAATGTCAACGAAACAAATTAATTTATTATAAATTATACTTCTTCAAATTTAAAACATTTGCTTTTTGTTATTATTTTTATGTTACATAATCAATTTGGTTATTAATGAGATCACATATTTTAGGCACCAAAAAAACAACAAAAACAATTTATCTTGCAAATTTTATTTACCTTTTATTGTATTCTTCTGCATTAACTTTTTACTTTATTCGTATAACATTGACATAAATTGTTTTTTTGTTGGTTAAAATATGTGATTTCAAGAAATACTAAATTTATAATGTGAAATGTTTCAAAAAAAAAAAAAATTGTAATGATAAGAGCCTGGGTACAGAAAACCTTGAAACTTGAACTTCCCACATTTACCCATTTAGTTAGGTCACAAATTCATCCAGAAAAACAATGAAAAATTAACAGGCGTCTCTCCCCCCCCCATTTATTTAGCAGACGAGAGTGATTGATTAGGTAAACACATAAAAAAAAATTAAACATAGATGACAATTGTGAGTTTATTTTATTTACAAAGTTCAATGTTATGAAACAAAAATTATAACTTCGCCAAAATCAGACTTGATACTTAATATAACAAATTTTTTTTTGCAGATAACAAAATATTATTTAAAGACGTTTGTTTCAAAAACTAATTAAAAAATTTTTTTTTACTACTAAATGGGTATAAAGAATTAAAATACTGGTTTTCAACACCTGCTATTTATAAATTATTATAAATAGTTTATTATTTTATGTTTCAGCAAATGGAAATGACCATTTAAGTCTCAAAAAAAGCTTTATTGATATTTTTTAATTTTAGGAAGCCAATTAATAAAAACAACAACAAAAATTAAATAAAAGTTAATTTAAAAAAATGAATTTTTCTTATTATATCTTGTATTAGCTGTTGCACATCATGGATATAAAAAGACAGCGATAATAAAAAAATACCTTTAACACTAATACATTTTTCAGTTTCCAAGAGCTCGGTATACACTGGCCTTATAAATATTAATGTGTAAGGTATGATAGCAAACATAGTAGTACCAGCAACTAACCATGGCATTGGGCATTTTCCAGATCCACGCATTGAAAAATATACACCAAATGAAGAAGCAACTGAAATAAGACACATTTTTGTCTGAAAAAAACAAAAATTTCACTTTTTGTAAAGTTCAATAGAAAGCAAAAAACATCAAAATAAAATTTATTCTTATACATTTTTAGACTTTTAAACTTAATTTTAATTTCAGTTAACAAATGCATCTGTCATAAACATATCCCCCAATATTACAAATGTATATTGAGTTGAAATGAGTCTTAACTTAAGTACTTTTTTTCATATTTAAAAATATTTATTAAACAACAAAGTAAAGTACCTGCAAATTTTTAGCTCGTATAAACGATGGCTTCCAGATTGTAATAGCTAAAGCTGCATCATGAGTTCGACGAGCTGGAGCTTCAACACAATCAACATACAAAGCAGCGCCAGCAAACAAACCTCCACTCACAGTAGACAGAACTTTTAAGGCTAAACTACAACTGGCCTTGTCAAAATGTTCCATTATTTTACAACTAAAGAAACACAATCAAAAATAAATAAAATATTATAATAATTAGATATCTTAGAAGGGTGTACTTTTACTTAGACAACTATTGCTAGTTAACTTGACCACAACTCTTTGCAAGTTTTGATAATTTGCGCGTTTAAAAAATGCGCTAAAAAAACAAACAAAGCAAATTAAAATTAAAATAAACAATCTATAAACTGAAAAGAAAATAAAATCCTTAAAATAATATATAATACAAAAATTAACCTAAACAAATAAAATATTCAAAGAATGATAAAATAAATAAAAACCAGAAAAAAAATCAAAACATTTATTAATTAATGTAAACTTAATTGCAAACGAAAGTAAAAAAAAATAAATATCACAGCTCTAATAATCTCTATCATTCCTTCCCATGAATAATTAGGCTAATTTAAGGGCGAATCCATTGTGAGGTAAAGGGTCCTTCCTCCCCTCAGAATTTTTATTTATTTTTTTAGAAATTGATGTTTAAAAACGTAAGTAACTTAGGCTGTTTAAAAGTGCCATGAAATTTAATAAAACTTTGTGGTGCAAGTTTAAAATTTTATTAAAAAATTAATAGGATACAGGGTGTGACAAATTGACAAAAGTGCGCGCATTTCTTAAAAGACACACAGAAAAACAAACATCACGTTTCTTTAATTTTGCTTATGCATAACGTTGCCGTTTGATTAGGATTTTTCAAAACGAACGTATCACTTCAGCAATTTTTTTCAAAATAATTTTTTCGATCATTAGTTTTTTATTTATTATAAAAAACACATACTTAATATGAAAAACAATTAATTTCACAGACTTAAATTAATGCCAAAACTTTTTTCAATAGCGTCACTTTTAAGTAAAATAACTAAATACGCTATAGAAAAAAGTAATTATGTTTTAGCATGGTTTTAGCATGCGCTCACAAATGCATACATAATTTTACTTAAAATGAATGCTTTTGTAAAAACTTCAAAAGAAATCATGCTCAAACATTTCGATTGCTTTCTTTTATTGAGAAAAGCGATCATAACGTTTAACGATGGTTTCTTTTATGTTTTTAGCAATTATATTAAAAATTTAAAGAAAATGTATTCATTATAAATAAAATTTAGCATGCTTTTTTTAAAATTTTCTTATTTTCCATAAAGTGAAATAATGTTTGATTGCATATTAAAACTTTTTGTACTTTTAAAAGTTTTTTTATTGTGCATTTATCATTAATTTGCGCGCACTTTGCAAATGTATAAAACAAGGTTTTTGAAAAAAAAAAAATTAAATAAATTTACCAAGCACCTTTGATATATTTAATAACTTATTAACTAGAATTTCATTAAAAAAAAAAAAAAAACGATATGTCACACTGGGATAAAAAATAGTTGGCAGATGCGATTGTTTCAAGATTATTGTAATTCCTTTTTTTTAGTAAATAATTTCATAATTAGAAATTATATTTCCATGATAAAATGGTTTGTAATTAGCTTCTGTACTCATTTTGCCTTAAACTCTAATCTGAATATTTTTTTCAATGATTGCCTTTAATTAAGTTGCATTAAAGTACTCAGGAAATTTTGTGGGAGTTTAATTGTAATTATGGAATCAATTAAATTAAAAATCGCTTTTGTTTTTTTTAAAGCATATTTTTTCAACCTGCTAAATATCAAAACTTGCAAAGAGCCGTGGTCAAGTTGTTAAAACAAAGAATTATATGTGTGGTCATATTAGGCGTGCGATCGCACGCCTCTTACGAGAAGGCCTGATATATATATATATATATGTATATATATATATATATATATATATATATATATATATATATATATATATATATATATATATATATATATGTATATATATATATATAATATATATATATATATATATATATATATATATATATATATATATATATATATATATATATATATATATATAATATATATATATATATATATATATATATATAATATATATATATATATAATATATATATATATATAATATATATATATATAATATATATATATACATATATATATATATATATATATATATATATATATATATATATATATATATATATATATATATATATATATATATATATATATATATATACAAATATAGTTATAACCACTTTTATTAAATTAAATTTTCTTAAAAACTTCTTTGTTGATTAGACATCAAATAGATATTGAAGGTTTTTTAGAACCTATTGAAATAAGTTTTAAAACTTATTTTCTACATGCATGCTAAATTTTATTGAAAAAGATTATAAAGCATTTTTTGTAGTGGAATATGTACCTAAGTTAAAAAATTGTAAATAAAACAAAATATTGTGCATATAATAACAAAGTTCCATAACTTCCATTAGCCGAACTTTTAAGCAGAAAATGCTGATGAGCCTTTATTGATGAAACAGTGTTATGTGAAAAATTTTTGTTAAGTGATTTTTTACTAACTTATAATTGATTTGTTCCTTCAAGAACAATGAGCACTCTATTTTGTAGAATATATTTTAAAATTGTTTATATATATATATATATATATATATATATATATATATATATATATATATATATATATATATATATATATATATATATATATATATATATATATATGTAGGGTAATAGTATCTAAAACAGCCTGATTAATCTCAAAAAGTGAATTTCCGGAATAACATCCAAATAGAGAATAACATCGAAATTGTAAAAAAAAAAGGAGTTGTATTGAAAATCCGAAAAATAGAATAATCTCAAAATTGTGAAAAAAAGAATATTGAAAACTTTTCAGAATAATATCAAAAAAGAGAATATATCGAAATTGTTAAAAAAGGAATAGAATTGAAAATCGGAAAAGCAAGATAATCTTGAAACAGCTCAAAAGAGAAAAATATTGAAAAGGGACTTATCGGAATAATATCAAAATTGTGAAAAAAGGAATAGTAGCGAAAATTCAAAAAACGGAATTACATCAAAATTGTGAAAAAAGTAACGATATCGAAACGGGAATTTCCGGAATTATATTGAAACTGTGAAAAAAGGAATAAAATCGAAATCACATTTTTGATGTTAATCATTAAAATGAGTTTTCAACCTTATTCTGTTTTTATTGTTTTCAACAATAATCCGAAAATCACGTTTTCGATGTTAATCATTAAAATGAATTTTTCGATCTTATTCCGTTTTTATTGTTTTTGATATTAATCAGAAAATCACATTTTTGATGTTAATCATTAAAATGAGTTTTCAATCTCATTCACATTTGTGAAATTTGTGAAACACATTTTTGATGTTAATCAGTTAAATAATTTTTCAATCTTATTCCGTTTTTATTGTTTTCGATATTGTTCCACATTTGTGAATTTCAATATAAAAACTTTTGGATATTAATCTGAAAATCACATTTTTAATATTAATCATTAAAATGAGTTTCGGTCAGTTATTTTTGATACTAATCATTTTTTCGATCAGTTAATTTTTGATACTATTCCGCTTTCCCTATATATATATATATATATATATATATATATATATATATATATATATATATATATATATATATATATATATATATATATATATATATAGTCAGATAATGTAATATAGCTCGTTTAGTATATTTATCAGTTTTTCACTAAAATATGCTAAAGTTTCAAAGATGCAGTGTCCCACTCTACACATTTTTTATAGCCTAGTGTTAACCTAGCATTTTAATGCCGTTACAAAGAAATTAAAATAAAAATATTCTTGTTGTTGAATGTTTTTCACATGTCATTTTTTAAATGTCTTTTCAGATTTTAAAAACTTTAACTATTGCCAAGCAAATACTTGAGCAGCAACATAGTGAAAATTTAACCAGACCTCTATAAGCTATTTAGGTAAATGCATTTTTAAGCTCAAAGCATTTACCTTAAGGTAAGTAAGGTAAATTGGATATTTTAAAAATTGGGGTAATATGGCCACTTAGTGATTTGGTTGATAAATTTTAAAATAAATATATAGATAAATTTAAATTTTTAAATAAGTTGGAATATGCCATAAAAACCAAAGAAAGGTTACACACACAGTAACTACCCCATAGAGCAATTACACAAGGCTATGAAGGCGATTGCTGCTGGTATTCCAATTAAAAAGGTCTCTGAGACCAACAAAGACAAAGTCTTAGAAATTATCTATGTGGTAAGACCAAAAATATACAGACACCTTGGTCTATTTCTGTTGAGATTGTCATGACTCAAAATTGAGCACTTTATCACCAGAATGAAGCGCTTTGAGATCTGGCTTCGTTAGAACACTTTATCAAGTGTTTTGGCTGTGTTAAAAAACTTCATCAAATGTTCATCAAATTTTCTTTATAAACAAAAATTCTCTGGGCCAGATTAGGCCCAGTCAGAACATTTAAAAGAGCCGTCCAAAACAAAAGATAAAATATACAAAAAATGTTATAAATACACATAAAAAATTTTAAAAAATGACTTTTATATTAATTATAAAATAATGTTTTGTATACTAATACAAATATATTTAACAATATACATTTAGTGCTAATGGAAATATTTTTTGTATTTTAAAATTACCTTTTTTTCTTCAAAATTTAATAGTAAAAAGTGGGGTGGGGGGGTCCTAATAAGCTCTGATGGGTTGGAAAAACAATGAAAAATTAATTTATTAGTCACAACATTTAAAAGAGCCATCCAGCTGTAAGTGAAGAACAGCTTGTTATTTATTTTCAACAATCTACACAACCTGACCAAGGACATTGTTCTTCTAATGTATGAACTATGATAACGATGATAAGATTTATCTCAGCAAAAACCTTCCAAGAAAATGATTTAGAGAGAGGCTACAAGGCATCTAGATACCATTATAAAAATTGAGATGCCTTTGCAATTTGTTAGGAATTTTTGTATTTTATTGTATTTGTATTTTGAACTTTGTTTTAAAAATCTAGTTTTAGGATTTGAAACATACTTAATTTAATTTCATAAACATGTATTGCAATGTTTTGTTGTTTAAGTTAGGTTTTTTATGTTAAATGGCCTTACTACACTACATTTTGATTTTTCAAAATTGATTTTTATTTATAAACTTTCGTTAAAGTTTTAAAGTCCCATTGCTGATTTTCACATAAAATGTGCAAATTGTATGAGTTCTTGAATAAAATCTATAAGTTAATAGCTCTTGTATTAAACAAATTATTTAAAAAAAAAAAACAGTCAAAATATGGCCATATTACCTCATCTGACAATATATATATATATATATATATATATATATATATATATATATATATATATATATATATATATATATATATATATATTATATATATATATATATATATATATATATATAATAATAATTAAAAATTAGGAAACCTAAATTTGACAGGAATAAAGTTATATATATATATATATATATATATATATATATATATATATATATATATATATATATATATATATATATATATATATATATATATATCTTTATTCCCGTCAAATAAATACAAAATTCTGATATCATTCATTAAGCACTCTTGCTGAAGAAATACAGATATTAAAGTAAATTTAGTTATATATTTTAATAATTAAAATCTAACTTTTTAAAATATGCAACATATCATTTATTTTAAATATATATTTTGGAAGAAACATTCTAATTATATAAAAGTTATATTAGAAAAATGTAATAAGATAACCGAAAAAAACTTGTTCTGCTGTAGAAAAAACATAATCGTTATCAGTTAAAATAATTATTGTCTGCAACATAATTTTCTGTTATTAAGATCGCGCACATTCTCAATTGATGACACTTGAAAATCTATCGTAACATTAAAATTGACTGTCCCGAAAAAAATTGCTTTTTGAAACTAAAGACGAATTTTTGCATAGTGAGCAGTTATACCGATTGAATTAAAAATTGAAACTAAAACCTTTTAAAAAAATGTTATTGTACTATACATTTAAAGTAGACATTCTGTTGATATCCTTAAAAAAATGGCTATTAAATTTAGCGTTAATAAAAAGGCAAAGTTTTTAGACAAATTACTCATAAAAATTGAAATAAAATGTAAACTAGTTAATATATACTTCTTCACAGTTTATTGCTACATAGTTAAAAAGGTAGACTAAGTAAATTGTTAATTTGTTACATAGGTTAATTTTTTTTTGTCTTTTTTAGTGAAGTGATTTAGCTAAACTTAAGTTTTGATTAGTTGGTCGCTACTAAAAAAAATAGAATATTCGGTCGGAGCTGATAGTTTCTTTTTTTTTCATTGATCATAAATCATTTTTTAATGTTTTAACTTTTGTCAATTTGTTTAATTATTAGGTTTTTTAAAAAAACTTAAACTTGATTTAGCCTCACTAATCTCCCCGAATATAGCTCGTTGTCGTTTTTATTTTCACATTTTGACTCATTCAACAATAAAACAGATTCTGGTCTGGAATTTAATTTCCGGGGTATATGCGCTATGTAGATAAATATTTTTGATTGATTTTGTTTTTATATTTAGATTTTTATAATTGGATTGGCAATAGTAGTAATGGGTGACTAAATATTTTTCCTGTTTGAATACAGCAGTTTAAAATATAAAAAATAAAAAAAAAACAGGTAATTTTTGTTTTATGGTTATAAATATGCATTAATTATATGTATATTGGTAGAATGCAAATATACATATAACTAATAAGTATGAGATATTATAAATCTTGTATGACATCCTCCTATCACTATAAAAATAGTTAGTATTTAAATAAAGCAGTTTAAAAAAAAAAAAAAAAAAAGAACAGGTATTTTTTGTTATTTGCTTATAAATATTTATTTATTAAATTTATATTGCGTTTAATTAAAGCATTAAGTTTGAGTCAAATGCCTGGGCTGTTATCCAGTTTGGCTATGATAAATATCTTCTTGGATGTATTTATAGACCTTATGATTTTAAGGATATGAATGATATTGAAAATGTATATAAAATTGCAAGAGAATATGTCGACCAAAAAGGTTTCAAAGATCTAATTATAGTTGGTGATTTAAATTTTCCTGGGATAAGTTGTTCCAACAGTTCAATAAACTCAAGTAAAGAATTAAGAGGCATTGAGCATGTTTTCTATTGAATAATAAATGGTAATTACCTATATCAGCATGTATATCTACAAACATTTCAAACAATAAATGAATCTACTGTAAACATTTTAGATTTAATATTCACAATTCAGTCATCAAATATAAGTGCCATCACTAGTAAATTTGTTTTAGGAAACATATTCAAAGGTCATTTGATATTATGTTTTGATTTAATTCTTAAAAATAATACAATAAATTTAAATAAAGAAGAAAATAAATTTTTTATATAAAAAGCTGTTTAAAACAGAATTCAAGATTTTATTACAAGTGTTATCTGGCTTCATTAGTTTCATACCAAAAATGTTAAAGAAATTACAAATTAGTTCATTAACTGAATGAAGAAGCATGTGATTTATATACCTATAAATACATCATATGTACATTCATCATCAAAGAAACTATGGCTAAACAAAGAGCTTATCTCACTCACTAGAAAAAGCAGAATTTAAAGTACAGAAATTGTTCAATTATATGGAAAATTTCAAGTCTTTGTAGACAATATAAACAAATATTATAAAGAGCTTTATTTGAAATTTCCATAGCAAGACAAAATTATGAATAAATGATTGTAATTAAAGCTAAAAAGAACCCAAATATTGTATACAGATATATGAATAAACAGTAATATGTAAAAGACTCTATAAAAGCTCTGCAACTACATAGTGGTGAAATAACACAAGATTCAGAAGAGATTAGTGATATACTAAATACAAATTTTCAAAAATTATCTCAAAAAGTATATGGTTTTAGTTGCTTGGCACTTATTGGTTTTATTATGGGTTATTATGGGAGATAATGTTTCAAATAATGCTGAGGTGTACAGTAGAGTTATTCAAGACTCTGTATTGGATCTACTACTTTTTATACTTATATAAATGTTCTTCCTGAGTCTCTGAAAAATATTTCCAAATTGTATGCCGATGATGTAAAAATCATATCAATTAGTTTTCCTGATGAGTTACATAACAAACTACAGTGTGATTTATTATTGACAAATGTTTAGTTATGCACTTTGAGTATAAAAATGAAAGATATCCAATTTATTTTGCTTTCCTGTGCATTTATAAAATCAGTAAAGTTTAGCAAAAACATTTAAAAAACAAATTTTAAAATTGGCCTTATTTATAGTGCAAATAATAAAGTTTTTCCTTAATATACTGGCTGACAAAAGTTGAAAATAAATTCTATATCAAAAAATGTTTTTGTTTTCATTATATTCTTATTTGCTTTCTTTCTTGACTTCTATTGATTTTAGCAGTGGAAAATTACAAAGGTTTTTTTAAATAAAAAAGAAAACAAAAACAATAAAATATTTAGGTATATTTTTTTTTTTGACAATGTTTTTCTTTTTTTAATTTTCAATTTTTTTTAGTTTTTTTGTTTAGAAAATCTATTTCATATAGTATTTGTTTCCTTTCTTCTAGTATTGCTGTTTTATTCTCTGTAGTTTCTTATATATTTCTTTTGCCGTAAATTCTTAAAATGCTAACTACATAAAAACGTGGTTGTCTAAAGTTGTCTAAAAAAGTTACTTTAAACATGGATGAACAATAAATAATAATATATATTTTGAACAACTTTTGTAAAAATTTTCAAGTAAATATTAAAATTAAAGTAGACTGACTTGGGTATGGATTTTGTATGAATGTGTAATTAATAAAATGTATAAATTTTTAAAGAGTTCAATTTAAAAGCAACTTAATTAAAATATTTGTTGATACTTGAATTTTCATCTTTTTTTAAATAATATTAGTTAAACTATTTCAAGATACAAAATAGTTATTTATAAATGATAATTCTCCTCAATCTCATGCTCTAATATATTTTTTTTAGGTAGTTAATGGTAATATTAAATGGGAAATTCAAGCAACAAGAAGCTCCATGATGGTGTCAACGGTCCGAGTGAGTAAATTTATTTAAAAGATAGAACTAGGAAATCATTTGCTTTTTGTGCGGTGATTTTCATTAAAGTTAAAGTGCTATTTTAATTTTTGATTCAATTTAAAACTCTACAAAGAAAAATGTGATCATTTTTGTTTTTCTTAATAATTAAATTTAGTGTTGTGTAGTTTTCCGATAATCCCTGTGGGGCCGGTTGATATGACAATTACTTCAAAAGGAATTAGGGCATGTAAAAGATAAAAGTTAAACTATAGAAAGAAAATAGAAGACCAGTATTAGGAACCCATGAATGAGACAGTTGTTCAAGAAACATCAAGTAGTGAGAAGAACCCATTGGAGCCAACAATATCAAGTGTACCAGCAATAGTACCAAATACAAAGATACTAAGTGTAATAGCAGTATAAAACAGGAAAAAGTTAAGCAACAGAAAAGCAACTTATATAATAGTTGCTGTAGCTCAGAGTCTAGGCCAATGTAGATGAACTAAAAATCAGCAGGTCTTCGATCTACAGAGAGCAAGACATTATTGGGAAAAATGACAAAAAAATTTAAAGAAATATTTAAAGAAACTTCTGCACCTATACTGTTTGTGCATAGGGAAAGTAAACTATTTCCTGATCTAACTGGTAAAAGTTTGGCTGACTGCCTACCATATTATCATATTATCTAGTGTTGGAGTTAGGAAATCTCTTGGAGTTCCCAATCTATTGATGGCACTGGAAATTCACAAGCATCAATGTTGACAAATTGCTGGAGAAGCGGAAGTAGTATGCAGTGTAAATATCATGTTTGAACACTGGTCGCAGAATTGACGCCACTGGTTTGAATATTACCATCTTCAAACATTTTCAACAATTCTAGAAAATCGTGTGCTTGGCATCAAGTCTTTGAGAGCGATTCAGGGTTTGAAAATGGTTCCATTCATAAATTATGTACACAGGTATGGGGAGGAGGTCATCAATAATCCTACCAATGCATACAAAAGAAAGGGTCGACAATTTTTTTTATGTGAAGTTGGGGAAATCAGATAAAAAAAGCGTCCGAGAAATCAGAGAAAAAATTAAATATATATATATATGTATAAATCAGCAGTATAAGATTTATATATATATATATATATATATATATATATATATAATATATATATATATATATATATATATATATATATATATATATATATATATATATATATATATATATATATATATATATGTATATATATATATATATATATATATATATATATATATATATATATATATATATATATATATATATATATATATATATATGTATATAGACCGTTTTCGATAGCGTCGACTGTATTTGGGCGCCGATTTGGATGCCGCCTAAATCAAAATTTAAGGCCTTGTTTTAAATAAAAAATTCTGAACGCATTAGCCTAATGTGAGACATAAAATTATCTTTTTTATATTTATTTTTTAAAGTCATTAACTTTTTTAAATTACTGCAATAATATTAATTACCTCAAAATGAGGTAAATATTGTTTAACTCATTTTTATTATTATTACTAGGAAATGTTTATTTTCCTTCTTTGTTTTTTTATATTCAGTAATTAAACTTAATATTGCATTTTTTAAAATGTTTAATATGAATAAATATATTTCTTTTCTTGACATTTGAAAAAACAATTGTGATAAAAATGAGCTAATTTTTTTTAAATAATAAATGAAATATTAATATTAAACAATATTTAGTAATATTTTCAAATAAATCTGACAGTTAAGTTAAACAAAAGCATTAACTTTAATTTTAATTAACTTAAATAAGGTAGATTAGGGTATTATGAGCACCTTAGGCGAAAGTTGAAATATTTTCATTTAAATAGATATTTGAGCACCCAAAATTTTTTCTTAAAAACACAAAGATTGTAAAAATCTAGCTTAAGTGCTCATATTACCCAGACCACTTGGTAATATGAGGACTTTAAATTAGCTAAAAAACCACAGATAATTTAACTAAAAATACAAACCTGACAAATAGAACTAGTTTGTGGAATATAATGATTTGTTACTAACAAAATTTATCATTAAAAGATCAAATTTCAAATTACTTTTTATTGAAGCTATACTACTATGTTTTACGCATAAAAAATAATTAGTTTGTTATTTTTTCAAATTTACTAACTCAAACCTTTAAACGATAAAATTACAAATTTTAATTGAGTTTAAATTGCAGAAAAGTATTTAGTATTGTTAAAATATTAAAAAATTTTATTAGGTTTTGTTTTTTATTCAATAAAAAATTTAAACCACTGCAATTTTAATATTTTAAATTAGGTAATTTCAATAAAAAATACTAGGTAATTTGAGCATGCTCATATTACCCAAAAATGGTATCTTTAAACAGAGTTTTAATTAAATAAGAGCTCCTAATTAATTGAATTATATATTTTTGAAATCAAAATTAAATTATATATATATATATATATATATATATATATATATATATATATAATATATATATATATATATATATATATATATATATATATATATATATATATATATATATATATATATATGTATATATATATATATATATATATCAGAATAAAATTATACATTTTTATTAAATTAGTTTTAAATTAAAACATATTTTTTATCAGAATTAAATTATATAATTATGATCTTTGCTTCAAGCTTCAAATATTAGCGTTTTTTAAGCGAAAAAATTATACATTTTCTTTTATGTTTTTTTTTTTGTTTCATTTAATAACTTCATATACAAATAAAATTATTGAATAATTTAAAAGTTAAAAAATTATAAAAACTTGCTTATTGGAAATTGCTTAATACGTATGTAAATTGCTGGCAGCTTAACGCTTTAAAAAAAGGCTTGTCTTTGTATTTGATCAAATGTATTTGACCCCAACCCTTGTTTGGTCAAATGAAGTAAAGTCATATGAAAATTTAAAATGATAATTATATTATAAAGAACTTATTGAAAAAAAAATATATTGTCAAAAAAGTTACTAAAAATGCATTTTTTTCCTTTTTAGTTAATAAACATTATTTTTTATGCTGTTAAATCTAAAATATTTAGTTTTATATAATGTAGTTAATATTTTTGAAATTTTTATATAATTTCATTTAATTTGAGACACAATATGATATACTTTTAAATACTTTTTTTTTTTGATAATATTAGGAGCTCATTATATGTTTAAGGTTCTAAAGGAACCCCTAAAAATATTTTTAGGGGTTCAGTTGTTTTTATTTTTTTTACCGATGGCATTTTAATACTTTTATCCTGCTTTATTATAATAATTAAATAGAAAATAAACTAAACTTTATGCATTACTTAGAATTTTATGGACTTTATTTACAGGCAAAAGCTTTTAAAGCATTGTTATCTATATATTTTTTATTCTTATTTACTCCCAACAAGGCTGCAAGCAACCACTATCAAGTTGGGAGTTGCTAGAAAAAAAGAATAAAGTTAATGAGCATGGAAATGGTTGACAGAAGACTTAGCAAGTTGAAGATTGTATGAGTCAGGAAAACATGAAGATGGGACAGAGTTCTGAAGGGTTGAAGTGTGGGGAAAAAAGCTTGATGAATAAAAGTTTTTGGAGCATGCAGGGACAGATATAGTAAAATAATGAGACTTTGATGAATAACGAGTCAGCATGATTTTTGGACCTTGTTTAGAAGAGAAGAGCATCATTAGAAGAACCAGCCCAAATATGACAACAGTATTTCATACAGGGACGAATAAGAGATTTGCAGAGGTAGAGAATGGAAATAGGAGAGAGAAAATGGTGAGCACGATAAAGAAAAGCAACCTTAGCAGATGCTAATTAGCAATCGATTGTATATATGGTTCCCATGAAAGGTCAGTAATAAGCGATAATCCAAGAAGACGTAAAGAAGAGGACTCAGTGAGAGGGTTGCCATTCATCAATATAGGAATGTTGACAGTACTGCGATAGTTGAAATTTACAAGTCACTGTAAGCCCCAGTCAGTTACAGAGGTGAGATCAGATTCAAGATCGGCTGTCTGTTTTAAGCGAAAGAAAAGAGAAGACTTTTTGTCAAGACATGAGTATTAAGTTAAGCCATCAGCAAAAAGAGCTAATTTAGATATAAGGTTGCCAGGAAGATCATTAATGTATATAAGTAACAAAACAGGACCAGGGATAGAACCTTGAGGTACCCGAGTATTTATTGGAAATAAAGAAGAGTGTTGACCTTCGATGACTTTAATAAAGTGGTTAGAAGAAAACAATTTGATTAAAAAAAACTTTCCTAAATACACCATATGAAACAAGCTTATGGAGGAGACCAATATGTCAAAGTTTGTCAAAAGGTTTAGCTATGTCAAGAGCTATAGCCCTAGCCTCTCCGCCTCCATCTAATGCACGATAAAATCTTTCAGTCACAGCAGTTAACAAGTCACCCATAGAGCGAGAGGATTGATTGTCTGACAGCAAGTTATTTGACTCAAGATGGGATGTGAGAAATTTGTTTATCAAAGACTCGAAGACCTTGCTAATAACAGAAAGAAGACTGATTGGACAATAATTAGAGGGGTCAGTATGTTCCCTAGAGTTTTTGAAAATTAGAACAACAGATGCCAATTTCCAGCAGGCAGGAAAACACGATTCAGTCAAGCACAGAAGGAAGAGAGTGGCCATAAGATTCGAGAGTCAAATTGGAAGAGAATTTCTTTGCAAATAGTTCAGCTTTAGTTCATGTGTTCAAGTATAGCCAAGTATCATATATATTTCTATATATGTATATGTGTATGTATATATATATATATATATATATATATATATATATATATATATATATATATATATATATATATATATATATATATATATATATATATATATCAGGAAGCGGGAGCGATCGCTCTCGATTGTTGACCACGTAAATAATATTTAGTTGCGAAAAGCTGGCCAGATTTTTTAGTCATTTTGAGAACATTTTAAAACGCAAAATAAAAAAGCGCTTAAGATTAATTGGACCAATGAGAGACAATTACAAAAAAATTAGGCAAATAAAATATCTTTAAACGCGAAAAAACTTAAAGCTAAATAAATTACATTTGGATCAAATATTTTCGAAACATGGCTCTTATATATTTTTTTTTTTATAAAATTAAGCAATGTTTTTTTATATAAAGTAACAACTTATAATTGTTTAAAAGGGAAACAAATATTCTTTATTTAACAAAGTTTGCAAGTTTTAGTTTCATTTAAGCTAAATTAATTTATAAATAAAAAAGTTAATTTTTTTAATACCTTGTTTATGTTTCGCGTAATTTGAAAAGTTTAACATATTTGAAATAATTCTTTTTAGTAAGATATACAAATGAAATAATTAAATCATTGAATTACTATAGAAATTAAATTATCAACTAGATAGAAATCAGCTAAAAAGGTTAAAAATACTTTATGACGAGGAAGCGAAACTGCTTCACGATATCGCTGATGATGTTTAGCTTTTTAAATTTAATTAGTATTTAAAGCAGAAAAAAGTATAACGAGTTTTAAGAATGGCAACTTAAGCGAAAATAATTAGAGTTAGTAAGCCAATATCTAGAAACTTTTCTCTATATCTAATTATTTGCTATATATATTTGTGTTCTGTCATGACCTCAGACGCGGTGCTTGTTCATCCGCGAGTTACTTTGTATGGCGTTGTTTGTGTTTAGTAACCAGAAACTTCTTATATGTTTGTTACATGATTAGTTTTATTAACTTTAACGATTATAACTTCATTGAAAACGCAATTATTTTTGTAAGTCTTATTTTAAATCATAAAAATTGCTTTAAAAGATACACAACGATAAAAAATAAATACACAAAATTACATTTAAATAAAGAATACAATCTCTTTTTAAGTAAAAAATAAGAATATACTAATAAAATCTATAATTTATAATAAACTTTTAAGAATTTAATAATAAAATTTTGACAATTTAATTAATATATATTTAAAACATTTATTTTTGTAAACAAATAATTTATATTCTTAAAACAATGCTAGAAACCTCAAAACGTAACAATTACATATAACATTTTTTAGTAATTTAAATAAAATTTGTTTATTCATTAAACAATCATTATAAGTAATTTGTAAAAGCGTTTTGCGTAACTTTAACCAAACTTTTCAAAAGATAAATTTTTAAGTAATTAATTTTAAACGCAATTAAAAATGTAACAAAAGTAATTTTTGCTTTAAGTTTGAAATTTTGAGTTTTATTTTTATGGCCGACAACACAGGTTTCGAAGTGGAGGGGCACAATTGTCAAATTCTAAAAAAAAGTCTTCTATATCTACAATTTTCTACAAATAAGGTCCTTTAGAAAAATAGTGTGTATGGGGGGGGGGGGGGGGAGGAGGGGTATGTGCCCCCTAGCCCCCTCGGTGTCATCGGCCCTAATTTTAGTGCTTTTTTTTATTTATTTTTTAAAATTATTGTTTCATTTTTTCTTTATTATTATTTTTTTTATTATTTTTAATTTCTCCTTAGTTTAAGTTTAGTTAGCGTTTCTTTTTTTAGCACATTTCTAAAATGTTTAAAAATCATCTAAACAATTTAACTGTCATGGTCAGTTTGTCAAAAAATAAATATATTTGTGTGGTCAGCAATAGCACTCGATCGCATGCCATTTCTGTCTAACCTGATGTATATAATTTTAAATTTGAAAATTTATGTATTTGTCTATTAATTTTTTATTTTAACAGTCAGCCTAAAAAGTTTCGTTATACTTCGATCAATTGGAAAGGGGGCATTTGGAAAGGTATGTATTGTAAAATTAGATTTAATAAATAATTTTATGTCGTTATCTTTATGTACAATTATATTTAGAAAAATATAAATACTTTCATTTAAAATTTGTTCTATGCAAAAATCTTTTTATATTAAGTGTTATGCCAAAATTATTGTAGACTACCTTTATAATTATACAAGCCTCAAATTAACATAGAAAATTCTAGTTGCAAATTTAATTGGTGAATTTTTTAACCCCAACAAGATATTTACTACTGTTAGTTATTGCAATTTTGCTAATATTCTTATATTGATGATGCATGGTAACACTATTACTGGCTCTCCTCTACTTTTCTTGGATTATTTTTTGCTACTGACCTCTCATTGAATTCATATATACAATTCTTTGGAAAATTACAATCTACTAAGGTTGCAATTTACTGTGTTTACCATTTTTTGACTTCTTATTCTATTTTCTACCTCTATAATACTATTTGTTACATTCCATGCAGAATTGGTTACATTCCATGTAAGTGCTAAATTGGTTACATCTCGTGAAAATTCAAGATAGAAAATTCTAACATTAGGCAAAATTGTTTATATGCAGAATTATTGTTTTGCTGAAGTATTCATTTTGTTAGTAACTTTTTTTAAGCATAAGACATCAATTAATTTTTGAATGTGTCTTTGTTTTTATGCTGATCCATCAAAACTTCAGTAAGTTGAATTCAATCTATCAGTGCTGTATCAAATGTTAGTTTGAGCAATACTGTTTATGCAAATTGTTCTTCTTGTGCTGAATGCATTTTTAATATGTCGATATAAATATTTGTGGTGAAGTAATTTACTTTGTTGTTGTTATTGTTGTTGTTACTTATTTTCCCAAGGCCTCCTAAGCCTCGGGGAGATTAATAACATAAGTAGCTCAAGCAAAAGGTTGTTTAAGTGAATTTACTTTTATTTTGATAAGTAAATTTTTACATACACTTGATTTTATTCATATTATTCAGATAACAATTGTTACCATAACAACAAAAAATAATGATAAATTAATGTCACAAAAACTTGTTACAAAATAACTAATTGGTTTTGAACAGAAATTCATTTTTAAAGGCAACAAAATGAACATTTTAGGAATAGTTTTAAAATGTCAAAGTTTAAACCTAAAATCAATAATTGAACATTATTGCAGTGAATAAAAAATTTTGAGATTTAGTTAATCATTTACAACAAAAATAATATATTATTTTATTACAATTTATATTATAAGAAAATGCCTAGAGAACAAATATAATACTTACATTTGTTCTCCAGGCATTTTATTAGTTTTTTACAGACATTTTATTAGTGAATTACCAATTTACCTGTTGCATTTGTTTAGATTAAGCCAGTAGTACCTTCTGATCATTTCTCAATTTGTAGGAATTCTGTTGGGGGCAAAACTGTGCAAAAAAAACCTTAGCTAATAAAATTGTCTATATATATATATATATATATATATATATATATATATATATATATATATATATATATATATATATATATATATATATATATATATATAAATTAGTAAAAACACTAATCTAATTTTCTTTAAAAAGTTGCTTCGCCATCAGTAGGCTCATCAGGAAGAGTCTAAACATCAAAAAATTTAAGTTATAGAAAAAATATTTCACAGGAAGTTGGAAATTAGTTTAATTAATTATGTAATAATTGTAGTTATTTTGTAACCAGGAAGTTTCAACCCAAAAACTTCCTGGTTGCAAAATAACTACAGTTATTACATAATTAATTAAACTAATTCTTAGTAATAACTGCAGTTATTTTGCAACCAGCAAGCTTCAAACCAAGAACTTCCTGGTTGCAAAATAACTACAGTTATTACATTATTAATTAAACTAACTCCCAACTTCCTGTGAAATATCTTTTCTACAACTTAAATTTTTTGATGTTTAGACATTCTTCTTGATGAGCCTACTGATGGCGAAGCAACTTGCTGAAGAAAATTAGATAATTGTTTTTACTAACTTATTAGTGTTCTGTTTTTTAAGAAAATTGAGCACTCTATTTGTAGAATACACTAACATTATATATATATATATATATATATATATATATATATATATATATATATATATATATATATATATATATATATATATATATATATACATGTATATATATATATATATATACATGTATATGTATAAACACGTATATATATATATATATATATATATATATATATATATATATATATATATATATTAGGGTGGGTCATAAAATTTTTTTTTCTTGTTACAGGCTCTAAACATTGCTAATAGTTATTAATATTGATACTATCAAATATGAGAATGATTGTGATAAGTTTAAAGGGCGCAACTTTATCGGGAAAATTATTGGGAAATTTTATAAAAAATTCGAAAATAATAATTGTTTTATAAAAAATCATATTGCTGTAAAAAATTGTTATTAAAAAACATGTAAAATAGCACCTTTTTCACTTTTAGTTAAAAAACTATAGTTATTATGCAATAAAATCTAAAATAATAATTTTTATATGAAAAAATTATTTTTTTAAAAATTTTTATAAAATTTCGCTTTATTTGAGTACCTACATCACATAATTTTGAAAAACTTTTTTTTTGAATATTAATAGGGCCTGCTAATTTTTGTAATTATAGTTGCGGGTGGAAGACATTGTTCAATCCATAAAAGTAAATACTTTCCTAAATTAGTACATAAAAAAACAACTTTCTAGCAATGTTTAGAGCCTGTAACAAGAAAAAAAAAATTTATTGACCCACCCTAATATATATACATGTATATATACTACCCCTCTGCTAATTAGGAAGTGATCGGGGCCCAGGTCACTTTCTAATTAACAGAAGGTTAAAGAAAGGGAATGGTCAGTTTGATCAGAAATTTTATCTAAAAGAGTGCAGTTTTAAGAAGAAAGAGAACAATTAAGAACAATAAAAAAGGTGATAGCATAAAGAGGCGCTAAGCGGAAGCACATAATAAAATGGTCAAAGGACTCAAACCTGATTTTTTGACAAATAGGTGAATTGATGCATATGTATACCCTAAAGGCAAGTATGTGGCTATTGGAATCTTTGCAAATTAAAGGATAGTACCCATTAACACTGAGATCTAAAGAATTTAAATTAATTTCTCTCTGAGCAAGCAAGTCTGGTGAATTTTGCAAAAGGTGAGATTTAACTGGTAAAAAACAGTTAGGTGTTGGAGATGATTTTTATGTTTAACATTTCTGGTTACTTTTGGCATGATTTAAGTTTAAAGACAACTTGACTCATATTTGGATAGAGCACAGCATCTCAAACAATGAGCTATGCAGTTTTCTCAATTCTCTTAATTAATAATAAATTAGTCATAACTTAGGGCTCCTTATGTGGCCTTGACTACCACAGAGTTCAGGAAACTTTACTACAAGCTGGCCTCAGAACCATTAAACTGAGTTTTAGAGCTCTCATTAGGAGATAAAAGGAAGAATTCCACTATCAATTAAAGACAAGCAAAAATCTGAGTAGAGTCAAGATCAAGTCCAGCATTTATTGTCCTAGGCTGGAAACAATCTAAAACAGGTTTACATCTATGGTAGCTTAATAGATGATAAAGGAGTTTGAGGCTGGTCAACAGAATTATTCAGCTTACCCCTAAAGTCTTTGCCTAGGAGGCCTTCTAAAAGATATTAGCTGGATGCAGTATACATCTTCCCAAGGTTTGTATTTTTATCAAGACAACATCTCTATTATTTTCTCAACAAAGAACCTCTTTAGCTGGATGCAGTTAAAATCTGCTAAAGATAAGCATTTTTATTGAGTCTCCATTTTTAGCTTATACTCAACCAGTAGCCCCAAGGCAGGGGAAATTTAGCTGTATGTAGCCAAAATCTTACCAAGATAAGTATTTTTATAGAGACACCATCTCTAGTATTTACTCAACTAAGAGCCCCAAGGCATGGGAATTTTAGCTGGATATAGTTTTCATTTGCCCAAGTTGAGTATTTTTATCAAGACACCATCTCTAGCTTTTACTCAACCAAGAGGTCCAAGGTAAGGGATTTTTTAATTAGAGTTAAAAAATCCCTTACCCTTACCAAAAAAATAGAAAAGCAAATAATACAAGGCAACAGGGCCTGGGACAGGTAGTATTGGGTTACATGATGGCAGTTGCAGGATGTTTTTAGTGTTTCTGAACCTGACCTGTTTTTGAGTAGTTAAAAAAGGTTACTTCACATTAACTTTAGAACAGTGATGATAATATTTTGGAAATGCATTAGAAAAAACGTTTAAAATGTGTGCTTGCATATTGTTTTTCAGTAAACCAAGTGAATAAATTGGCTGTGTAAATTTTAAATTTGCAAATGAATATCAATTTCAAAAACATACAATGCACTCTTAAATAAATAGTTTTCACCTCTCTTTAATTTTTTATTAGTAAGGGGATTTTATTTTTATTCCTTTTACTAAAGAATTGTGGTCCGAAATGAAGCCAATAAAAAAATTTGAACATTTTATATGAGCAGAAGCATAGCTTTAGTTTTGAGGCCCCAAACAAATTTATGAAATGAAGCCCCTTAAATGGTACTTTAAAAAAAAAGAAATAAAAAAAATGTATAAACTTATAGAAAAAATTTAATTAAAAATTAATTACAAATAAAGATTTTAAATAAAAATAATTTTTTTATAAATAATATACTGTTAAATTTGTGAAATTTGAGGTTTACTAAAACAATGTAATAATTATTTTATATTTATAATTTCTTGCAGGATTTTAAACCAGCAAGATTTTACTATCAAGTTTTCAGATAAAATTCCTTAATATTTTAGTCTTTTGGTTGCCATAGTATTTTGCAAATAGTTCCTTGTTAAATTCATTTTGGAAAAACTTCTTTTATTGGATGCTATAGAAATTAGTTAAATAAGTCATTAAGGTTATAGTAATGTCAAAATAATCTCATTGTAATCCCTTTTTTAAAATAATAATTTAGTAAATAATCTAATAATTTTTGTAAATATACATTTTTAAACCTCTTCGACCATATTACTGTTGTTTCTTGGTGCTAATAATTCATATTAAAAACTAATTTTGCTGAATAGCTAAGCCAAGCTCTAATTGATTTTCCCATGGCAATTTGTTTTTAAAAAATGTGATGAAACTTTTTATTATTTTGATTTTGAAAGTAGCCTCCTCGACTGTGGTGTTCATGACCTTGGGGAGGTGAATTGTCATAAAATAAAATAAAATTAAAAAAACTTACTAAATCTGTAATAAAAATATTATAAAAACATTAGTTCATTTAAAATAATTATTATGTCTTTTTCCCCAAATATTTTTATTCAACAATGTTAATAACAATTCATAATTTACCTAGTTATTTTTTTAGTTTTAGCTTATTTTTTAGTTTTAGTTAATTAACTAAATTGATAAATACTTAATAATGAATTAGCAATACTTAAATTCTGTGTTCTATCTTCAAACGTTAAATCTTAATCTACTAAGTACAAAGTTGATGGTATACGGTCACAAAATCACAAATACATTTTAAAAGTACAAAGTTATTATAATAGTCACACGGTCACAAAACCACAAATACATTTTAGTTTTGTTAAAACCATAAAACTAAATAAATATGTAAACTTCCTAAAAAATTGTTTTATAGTTTTGATTTTGCATACATTAAATCATCATAAAGTTTTATTGTTTTGATTTTGCATACATTAAATCATCATAAAGTTTTATAGTTTTGATTTTGCATACATTAAATCATCATAAAGTTTTAACTATTTGATGTTTTTGTACAAGAAACACAGTAATAGGCAAAAGAAATAAAGAAAATAAGTTTTTTGTAAGGTAAATACCTAAATACCAACCCTATAATTCATCGGCTAAAGAAATATTTGACCAATTATTTTATACCTTATTACTAAAAGTGAAATAATCTTACCTTAGTTTTTGTTAATTAAAACTAATATTAAAAATAATATTTGTTAACTGTTATTTATGTTAAATGTAACTTCATTACTAAGTACTTATAACTTATAAATAAGTGTTAACTCTGCTGTTGAATTAGTTGCCTAACTTAATTCTTTAAACAAGTCTCAGCCACATCAACTGTCAGATTACATGATCTGTCATAAAGCTATTTTCCTTGTATAACTTGAGGTTTGAAAGCTCTCCTGAACATTCCCACTATTCTTCTGTCAAGGCTAAGGCCCCTTAGATGTTGTGGCTCCAAAGCAGTGCCTTCCCCTGCCTTCCCATAGTTATGTCTCTGTATATAGGCTTGATTATGTAACAAATATTGTAATAGAAATATTGAAGAATTAAAAAAGTTGATATTTGAAGACTTGATACATTTTATATCTGTGAAAAGTTTTAATTTAAAATTAAAGTCTAATTTTAAACAAATAACTTGAAAATATACAAAATTAAATAGAATTAAATAAAAAAATTTTGTTACATTCGTAAATAATTTATTATCAATATTAAAAGAAAAAACATGTGAATCCAAAAATACTTTTGAATCATTTGAATCATTTGAATAATGTAAACAGTTACAAAAATCCTGATCTATTTATTTAACTTACTTAAAATTTTAAATTAAAAATAAAAACAAAACATTATGATATTTATAATGAATTCAATTTAAATAGGTATCAATTGTAAAAATGAAGTCTACAAATCGATTGTATGCTCTCAAGTATATGTGTAAGAAAAAAATTGTTGAACAAAATGCCAGTAAAAATGTACTACGTGAAGTTGAAATACTCAAAATGCTTCATTATCAATTTATTGTTAACTTGCAGTTTTCATTTCAAGATGATCGTTACATGTACATGGTGATTGATCTAATGCTAGGTGGAGATTTGCGTTTCCATATAAATCAAGGTCACACATTTACAGAAGCTGAAGTAACATCTTATATATTAGAAATGGCACTTGCTCTCGAATATCTAAAGGAGAAATCTATACTTCATAGGTATTTTTTATTATTTAAAATTTTATTTATTATTGCTTTAAAGTACATTTTACTTTTTTGATTTTTTTTTAGAGATATTAAACCAGAAAATTTACTTCTTGATAGTAATGGTAAGATATTAAATATATTACGCTAATACCTAATATAATATGTATTCATAATATATTATATATTTATAATTAATTATTTTATTAGATAGTTGGTAGATAAGCTGTTTATTTATATGAAATATATATATATATATATATATATATATATATATATATATATATATATATATATATATATATATATATATGTATAGGCTATTCCAGAAAAAAAATTTGGGCAGCGGTACCTTGCGTCCCAGAGAAATTTTTTTTCTCTGGGATGCAGCAAAATTGTTTTTCTTGAAAAAAGCAATTTTTGCTGTAAAAAAAAAAAAAAAAAGGTCCTCAATTTTTAATTCGGGCGATGCCTAAATACGGTTGACGTTGTCAAAAACGGTCTAGAATAGCCCCTATATATTACTCATATATATATGGATATATATATATCCATATATATATGAGTAAAACAACTTTGTCAGACTTGATACAGCGAATAGTAAAAAAAAAAAATCATTTGGTGTGTGTATTTAGCACATGTTGATGTTATTATATGCTGAGTTTCATAGTTTTTACTTGAAGTTTTACAAGCATTTTTATGTTTTTTTTTGTTGTGACGATTGTAACAAAAAATCCAAAGCTTAAAAACAACAAATAAAATGACACAATTAATGACGTAAGAAAAAAAGTATAAATGATTATTAAAAACCATGTATATTATGTTAAAAAGATGCACTATAACATATATATATATATATATATATATATATATATATATATATATATATATATATATATATATATATATATATATATATATATATATATATATACACACAGGCTTGGCCAGGAAGGCGTGCGATTTCACGTCATAGTATGACCACGCAAATACTATTTGATTTTACTTAACTTGACCGCGGCTGTTAATATGTTTTGAAAATTTGTAAATGTTTTAAAAACGCGCTAAAAAATTGATTCTAACTATAAAAAAACTTATCTTAAAAGAAGCAAATAAATCTTGGTAAAAAAAAAAAATAACTTAACTAAAACAGCAGAAATAAAATTAAAACTCAACTAAAAAAACTATAACAATAAGATTATCTAAATTACGTTTGGAGTAAATAACTTTAAACCGTTTATCTTTACTAATGCTTTTTTGATATAATTATGCGAATTATGCCAAACACTTTTTAAATAAAGTAACAACTAACAACTGACGATTGTTTAATAAACGGGCGCATTTAAAAGTTTAAATAAAGATTCTTAATTCTTCGCACTAAAGAAAAAATAATCAAATCGTTTATTTAAAATTTTGATTTTTTTTTTTTTTTATTTAAAAACATTACTAATAAAAAAATAAATACTTTTAAAAATATATATATGTTTTTATTAAAAAATCATTAGCAGTACTTGTTATTTAAATTCAATAAAAAAAAACATAAGTAAAGATCGAAGTTAGTTAATTCAAACGGCTTTCAAAAAAGTTTTTTTTTTCTTCTAAAAAAAAACTTCAATGATTATTGTATGAAGTTTATTAGAGACCTTCGCTTATTAAAGTCTAAATTTTTATTTTTTATTTTTTTCAAAAACGTTTACTTTTTTAATTTTTACTTATAAAAAAATCTTATATAATTAAATAATATAAATAAAAAAATACACAACTTTCAATGATAATTAAAATCCTAATTTAAAAGCATTGTGCTAATATAAAAACGTTAGTAAAGATAAATGCATAAAATTTATTTATTTTCAACGTAATTAAAAAACCATTTTTTAGCGCATTTGTTTAAAGCCGTGGTTAAATCATCTTAGCAAAATATTATTTTCGTGGTCATATAAAGACTTTAAATCGCACGCCTTCTTGGCCAAGCCTATACATATATATATATATATATATATATATATATATATATATATATATATATATATATATATATATATATATATATATATATATATATATATATATATATATATATATATATATATATATATATATATATATATATATACATATATAGATGTAGTGATGCTATTTTGTGCATATACTATCAAGTCATGCTGTTACAATCATCAGGTGAAATACAAATATTTGTATTTCACCTGATGATTGTAACAGCATGAAACTTAAAGTTGTGAAAATCACATAGTTTTATTTTCTACTATATATATATATATATATATATATATATATATATATATATATATATATATATATATATATATATATATATATATATATATATATATATATATATATATATATATTAGATACCAGTGATTTTTAACTTTTTTTCGAAATTGCAATTACTTCAAGCTAGAGTACCTTCTTTAGACCATAAAAACATTATGGGCAAAATATAAAAGCTTTAGGTATTTCCGATTCTATCTTATTTGGACTTATATTTATTATATATTATCATTAAAAAGTAAAAACTTTAAGAGGTCACACAATAAATATTTGAAACGTTAATGCACAAAAACTTTTATGAATGTATTGTTTATAAGGATAAGTTGTATAAATAATTTTAACTTAAATTTTTAAGGTTGTTTTTAGGGTGTTGGAAAAATAATTATCATAACTTAAACAATAAGCGGTTTTCAATAATCATTAGCCATTAACTGAAAAATGGATTTAAACATAAACAACAATGTTATGTTGTTACAGCACTTTTTATCAGGATTTATTCAAATATACAGAAGCAAAAAAATAAAACTATTTTTACGGGTGGTGACTAGATGGCGGGGCAGGTGTTAACAATCCTCCTCCCTTCCCCCTTACTCACCCAAAAAAACTTTTATTTTCCCCTTTTGACTACTACTAAATATTATACTTTTACTGCTGAACCAAATTAATAGTAATAATAATCAAATTAATTTATTTTCCGCTAGCATCAGAAGTCATTTTCACTGCCCTTTCAACCGTTTGCGAGTGGCACGGAAAGTTGGGAGCCTTTCCCTGATTCGGAATCATATTCAAAAGCTCCTCATTTGATTTATCTTCCACACAAGGGGGCTCAAAACAGTCTATATCATACAAATTTATCAATTTTGACCAGTTTTTATATCTACAATCAATAACTGGAATGATATAAATTATGGGCAATATAATATTTTGAACTTCAGTATCCATCCTCAAAATCCGCTAAATAAATTGGAAAATGAGTTTAGGACCCTCTCTGAAACTTTTAGACTTTTTGATATTAAACCACATAGGAGTATATACTGTTTGAATATATTCAACAAAGATTTTTAGCTCTCTACTGGGATTGATTGTTCTTGTGTATAGTACCAAAATCCATACTGCTGTTGTTAGCCACCTGGCATGACAAATAGGGCCTAAAAAAATAATCTTTTATATATAAAAATTAATTAATAGTATAATTTAATAGTAAATTATATATTAATAAATATATATTTACATAAACTTCAAACAAACAAAATAAAAGGAAAAATATTAGGAACAAATGATTTTTTTTTTTTTTTTTTTTTTAACATCTTCACTTCCAACAAGGCTGCAAGCAACCACTATAAAAGTTGGAAGTTACTGGAAGAGAAAAGACTAAATCTGTAGAGCAAGATAACGATTGACTGATGACTTAAAAGATTGTAAATTATATGAATCAGGAAAGCAAGATGAAGGAAGCGAATTCCAAAGAACTGATGTTCGAGGAAAAAAACTAGAAGAATAAGAGTTTTTGAAGCACTTAGGAACAGTCACAGAAAAAGGATGAGACTTAATTGAATGGCGAGTAACACGAGAATGAATTTTAGTAGATGGCACAAGGGATGCTAGCTCTTTAGAGCAGTGCCCATTATAGTATTTGTAGAAAAGAGAAAGAGAAGCAACATTACGACGATGTGACAAAGGTTGGAGATTGGCTGCCAGAGCAGGTCCAACTATGTTTACAATTCGTTTTTGCACCTTGTCTAAAAGAGAAAGAGCATCATTAGAAGATCCGCCCCAGATGTGGCAACAGTATTCCATACAGGGACGGATTTGAGATTTATAGAGATAGAGAATAGAATCTGGAGTAAGAAAGTGTCGAGCTCGATAAAGAGATGCAACCTTAGCAGATGCTAATTTTGCAATGGATTTGATATACGGTTTAAAAGAAAGATCAGAAGTAAGAGTTAATCCTAGAAGATGAATGGTAGATGACTCATCTAGTACATTACCATTCATAAATATAGGAAGATCTAAATTATTACGATAACGATTGGCCGAATAAAATAGAGTTTTATCTGAATTAAAGTTCACCAGCCACTGTGAGCCCCATACTGTAGCAGAAGTGAGATCCTTTTCAAGCTCAGATACCCCCTCCAAGCAATCAGAGAGTGTAGGCTTCTTATCATGACAAGAGTAAATGGTAGTGTCGTCAGCGAATAATGCCACCTTAGATGAGAGAATATCTGGAAGATCGTTAATGTAAATTAAAAAGAGTATAGGGCCAAGGATTGAACCTTGAGGAACCCCTGAAGTTACAGGATGTGAAGAAGAGTGTTGTCCATCGAGGACAACTTTTATACTACGATTGGAAAGAAAGGACTCAATAATCTTAAAGACGTTACCAGCTACACCATAAGAAGAAAGCTTATGGAGAAGACCAGCATGCCAAACTTTATCAAAAGCTTTAGAAATGTCAAGTGCGATAGCTTTAACCTCTCCACCTCTATCTAATGCACGGTAAAACCTATCGGTTATTACTGTTAGCACATCAGCTGTAGAACGAGAAGACCGAAATCCATATTGATGATCAGAAAGTAAGTTATTTGATTCAAGATGAGAGATTAAGTGTTTGTTGATTAAAGATTCAAAAACCTTGCTTATGACAGGAAGAAGACTAATGGGACGGTAGTTAGATGAATCAGATCGCTCTCCGGAATTTTTGAAAATAGGGATAACAGATGCTGCTTTCCAGCATGATGGAAAACAAGACTCTGATAAGCACTTGTTAAATAGTTTAGAAAGTATGGATGAAAGTTCCGGAGAACACCTCTGCAAGACTACAACAGGAATGTTGTCAGGACCACAAGCTGTTGAAGAGTCTAAGCAGGAAATTACTTTAGATACAGAAGCTGAAGTGATGCGAATGTCAAGCAAGGGATCAACCTGTTTGACGGCTATGTCAGGTAAAACGCAACTAGTGGAATCAAGAGATGATATTGATGAAAAGTTCTTAGCAAACAATTCAGCTTTGTCTTTAGGTGAGGTGACAAAGTCTGAACCATACAAGAGAGAAGGAATAACAGATTTGCCCTTATTATTGATACTGTTAAAGATTCTCCAGAAGTCTCGAGAGCCTAATTTTTGTGATGAGATACGAGATTTAATGACCTGGGAATAGCGAGCTTTGGCGTCAGACAAAACCTTTTTACAATGGTTTCTGGCGATAGTGAACAGATGTCTGTTTTCTGGAGAATTGTTTTGCTGATAGATATGGAAGTAACGGTTTCGATTAGAAATTGCTGCAGCGCAATGTGAGGAAAACCAAGGAGAAGAGTGAGGCTTGACCTGGAATATTCGAGAGGGAATAAAAGATTCCATGCCAGCCTGAATCCACGAAGTTATGTAAGAAGCACATTTGTCAGCAGGAAGACGAAAGATTTCTACCCAAGGGCCATCACGAAGAAAATCACGGAAAGAGTCCCAGTCAGCTTTAAGGTAGTTGTATGTGGTACGATGATAGGGGGATTCTGATGAAGTAGAAGAATTTGATAATAGTTTTAGAGAGATCAAACCGTGATCAGAAGTACCTAAGGGTGAATGTGGAGAAATTGAGCACTGACTAGGATCCAAAACAAGACATAAGTCGAGTAGAGAAGGTAAATGATTAGGGTTGTCTGGAAAACGAGTTGGAAAGTTGACTATTTGAGTTAGAGATTGAGAAAGGCAAAAGTTGAGGGCCTTAACGCCAGCAGAGTCACTGACACTAGAGCCAAGCCAATCGGTGTGATGGGCATTAAAGTCACCAACAACGACGATATTGGCCGATGGATAGAGAGAGAGGGCTAGGTCAATTTGATCAGAAATAACATCAAGAATAGTGCAATCTTGGGATGAAGGAGAGCGATATAGAACAAAGAGAAAGGCGATAGAGTGAAGTTGTGCTAAACGAAAGCACATAAATGAATAGTCTGTAGATTCAAACCTAGTTTCACGACAAATGGGTGAGTTCTTACGAATGTAGATGCCCAGGCCAAGCATGTGATTATTGGAGTCTTTACGAATTAAAGGAAGATAACCATCAACACTAAGATCACAAGATGGGACAGCTGAACTCAAATTAGTCTCACAAAGAGCAAGTAGGTCTGGTGAACTTTGCAAGAGATAAGACTCAACATAAGAAAAGTTACTTCGAAGACCACGAATATTAGTAAATGATAGGTTTAGAGAACTTGGTGATGACGATGGTTTTTTGTGTTTTTTAGTTTTAGGTACTTTAGTCATTTTAAATTTATAAAGAACTTGACTCAAGTATAGATAGTACTCAGTACACTATTTAACAACTAAGCAATAGCCTCATTACTATTAATAAACCCTAAGCCGTAACAAAGGGCTCCAAATGTGGCCTCTGCAATGCACACCAAAAGTACAAACAGGGACACCATCCATGCGCAACATGGCACTGTTAGTACTCTGATATTTTTCGGCTGTTGATGGAATCAGCCTCTCTGAGAGCTACCACAGAGTTCGGGAAACCTGACTACCAGCCGGCCTCAGAACCATAAAACTGAGTTTTAGAGTTGTACCCTCATTAGGAGATAATAGAATGAGTTGCCCAGTCATAAAAATAGAGACACAAGCAATACCCACGCATTGAGTCAAGAAGATCCAGCGTTCAACATCCTAAACTGGAAACAATGTATTAAAAATACATCTGCGCCAGCCTAATAGATGAGGAAGGGGTGCGAGGCTGGTCAACAGATAGAATCTGTTTACCCCTTAAGTCTTTGCCTAGGAGGCCCTCTACAAGACAGCAGCTGGATGCATGTAACATCTGCCCAAGATGAGTATTTTTATCGAGACACCATCTCTAGCCTTTACTCAACCAAGAGCCCCAAGGCAGGGGGTGTTTTAATTCGGAGTTAACTTCTCCTAGCCTTTGCCTAAAAAAGCGTATCCTACAAGGCAGCAGGACATGGAGCAGGTTGTACTGGATTACATGTTACCAGTAGCAGGAAAACCTGACCTGACTGACAATTATTTACAAAACAACACACCTATTTTTTTTCTCAGATACTTATTGTCTGAAAACGCTCTAGAAATTCCAATACTATATTCCAGCAGTATTCTCTGGTCAGCAGAGAGGTCTTTAATGACACACGGAGGAGGATATTCAACGTCTGTCTCAACTTGTATAAAGTCAACAGTTAAATTTAAATAAATTGGATTTGTCAAAGCTTTTCCAACTGGTATTTTAAAATATTATAATTATTATTGTTTGATCAAGTATATTAATATTAATAGTTATAACCTTTTACTCAAAATAATAATTTTTATTTATGCTTATCAGAATAAAGTAAAGCAGCAATAAAACTCTTAAGTAAAATATAGAATTTCTATAAATTTTAATAATGTTGCTAAATAATAATCGGGTAATCTAAATAATATTATTATCACCAAGAATGTAAAATAATATTATTATTTAGATTACCCAAATATTTAAGCTATTAGAAGAACCATTAAGTTTAGAAATTAAATGACGCAATGGTAACTCGTTAACATGTAGAAGACAGCCAATTAAATGAATTCTTCTTTTCAATATTCTTTCAAGACAAGCAACTAAACCATTATCTTTACCTAAAATGATATAATAATATGAAAATATATAACTCAAATAAAGATTTATATATTATATTTTTTTATTTCTCAGACAGGCATTTTTGAAGAAAAAATATACCTGTATTAACACTTGTATTGTCCAAAAATATTGCCTGGATACTTTTATCACTCTTAAACTCCTTGAGAATATTACAGGTAAATTCAGCAAGATCTTTTCCTTTACCTTTTTTTTTAGGTACATCTATGTGCTTTAGATATTGACCTTGCAACTTTTATTCAAATTAAAACATTTTTATTAGTAAAAAAAATTAAAAAAAAAAAAACCAAGACAAAAGAGATAGCATTGGCCTTTACCTGATTCAATTGTGAATGTCAAGTGGTCTACAGTGCTGGTAGATTTACAAAGTTTTATTTCACCATCAGTATCTCTCTGTTCATAAACCAATGAGTTTTTATTACGTTTGCTATCCAAACCTATTGCTTTTATATTTGAAACTTTAGATTGCTCAAAACTAGCATTAAAGCATACTCATTCTTTCTCTCTCTTCATTTTACTTGGATCAATTACATCATTTATATGTAGATAACCAATATCTTTAAGTAGAGCATTAGCTACAGCGACAGCTGCTTTATCTGATATTCCATATCTAATTATCTCTAAAGCAAATTTGGGATAGTGGATTGTGTTATAGTACATTGATCTAGTCTGATTTAATGATGAAATTGAAGTTTCACTCTATAATTATAGAAAAAAATACAAAAAAAACTTCCAGAAATTAAAAATAATAACAATGAAAATTTTACATTTAATTGTATTAACATTTAAGATGCTCTAATTAACTTCAGAGCATTATATTTAAAAGAATTAAGAAATTTAAGAATATATATAGTTTTTATCATACAATCAAAGTTTACAGGTCACAGTTTATTACCTGATCCATGATTGTGTCAAACTCTTTAATATAAATTTCTTCATCAGAAGCTTTTGTTTGCTTTGTTTTTCTTGAGGTAGGTGATAAAACAGAGTTATCAATACCTCCTCTTTGAAACTTTCTTTTAGTACTAATTTTCTCCCTTTGGTCTTTTATATAGGAGTGCTCTTGCAAAAGAACCTAAATAATTATTTCTGGTTTTAAATATTATTTTCAATTAATTTGTGTAAAACGTGTTATTATCTAAAAATATAAAAAATAATAATAAAATATAAAAAAGTTTATCAAATAAAAACTAAATAAGTTATTTAAAGTTTAATTTAAAATAAATTACTTTAAATTTGTATAACTTACTTTTTTACTACCAACACAACTAAAGTAAAGATGCACATTTGAATAACCTGAGCATTTGATATTCCTGTCATCAAAAGGAAGAACTTCAAGCTTGCAGTTATATGCTAGCAGATCAAAAAGTTTTTCTTTATTTTTTTCCAACAACTTTTTGGTCAAAGGTTTAATTTTATTTCCATTCCAAGAAACAACATTAGGGTAAGGCGGGGCGAGTTCGTCATGTTTTACTTTAACAAAATGAATTCGCATATAAATAAGTGAACTTTTCTAGTTTAAAAACTTTTTTTTATTAATTAGGGTCTCTATTTTGTTAATGTATTGAATCAAAATGAATTCTCAAGTTACTTTAGTGTATAATTTGATTTTTTCATCATCAAGTCATGAGGGGCGAATTCGTCAATTACGGGGCGAATTCGTCAGTACAGCTAAACTAATTTAAAAATTCGTGACTCGGGCGATAGATGAAATTCCTTTCTAGTGGTAAAGGCAACTTACCTAGGAGAAAAAAACTTTGACATAAAACATTTTTGAGGTCACAGTAGGATGATTTCCCTAATCTAGAAGTAAACCTAGAAGTTGCGAGTTCGATTTCCACCGCGTCCCTGGTAGTACTGCGCTCAACTTGTTTTTCTCTCAACTCTATAACTCCAAAACACGAACCTTGATCGTCAAGGTTCGTGTTTCGGAGTTATAGAGTTGAGAGAGGGTTGTAAACACAACTAAAGTAGCCTCCTTGACTGCAGTGGCCTAGGGTAAAAGGACATCAAAAAGGACATTAAAAAGGACATCTAAAAGGACATCAATTGTTAAACTTTTTCCAAGAAAATATCAAATAATGATTTTGGCATAAATGAAAACCGTATAACCGCGCTAGCGCAAAAAATAGCACGTTAAAGCAACAAAAAATCATATCACTACTATGACTGTTTAGATAACAAAAATCATATCACTACTATGACTATTTAAAAATTTACAAGTTGTTTATATGTTCATTGCACACAATTTGCACATGTATCAACTCCAAAACATCCTTCGCATGCCCACTGATTGCAATTTAAACATTTAAGCCAATCTTCACTTGCTTCTGCCCAAACAGCTGCACAAACACAACAAAAGTCTTTATCAGTGTTATTTTTTAGAATAAAACTTGAAGAACTTGGGTGATTAGAATCAGCTGAAAAAAAAGTCTTTTTTGATTTGGTTTTAACTGATTTATCGTGATCCTTTTTTGACTTCTGTTTAACACTGACCACATTTTTTATTGCAGCCTTTTTAGCAGGAGGCTCTTTTATTAACTTAACATTACCTGGTGATGTAATAAGAGCAATGTGGCGTTTTGAATGAGTAAGTTTCCTTTTTTTTTCAGGAGAAGGTATAATAGTCCTTAAAATAGATAAATTTTGGTCTCCCTGGTGAATTGTTGCTTTATTAAAAACCTCTGCTTTTTTATATTCAAAATCTTTTACTGGGTTTCTTAGGGGATGCAAACCACAATGGTAAAACGCATTAACAATCAATCCTCTTTTTGTAAGTATATTTGGCCATATTTTGTTAAAAATAATGTGAAAGTTGCAACGAGGCAAAGAAATATCATCATTTTCAGCTAAGTAATTAGACAAGGTTTCAGACCACATATGTTTAACTACTTTATTAACATGTGTGTCAAGTGGTTGAAGGCGATGTGTACTATGAGGTGGAATGCATATTATTTCAATATCCATCTTTATTGCTAATTCAATCGCTTCAATAGTCACATGACCTTTGTGGCCATCCAAAAATAACAATACTTTTTTCCCATTCACTTTTGTACAAAACTCATTAAAATGATGTAAATAAGCAATAAAAATCTCTTGATCAATATATCCACTTTGACTACAATGCACTTTTGTACCCAAAAGAAATTTAGATGCATCTGGAATCTTTGTTCCCTTAAATATGAAAAATGGTGGTAAGCTGTCTCCTGCTGCATTAACAGTGGTCAGGTATGTTGTAAGTGTGCCACGTTCACCAATAGTTAACTTTTGTACCTCATGAGAACCCTTTAATGCTATTACCTTAACAGAGACATTTGGCACAGATGAAAGGCCAGTTTCATCACAGTTATAAATCAAATTTGGATAATTTTTTATGTCAAGCTGTTCATAAAAAGGTTGTAAATCGTTAAAAAATGTCTGAACGCGATTCTCATTAAATGCTTCTGCTCTTGCTCGAGAAAGCCCTTCAGGAATTCTTAGTGTCAACTGAGTATGCCTTTTTCGGAATGAGAGAAACCAATCACGTGATGCCAAACATTTATTATGCCAACTTTTTGGAATGGACTTCTGTAATAAATGACGTCTACACAAGCTTTTGGCATAGAAATAAGCAGCAGATCTTAACCACATTATTGTGAGAGGAAACCCTCTATCAGCCATATATAGCAGCCTTTGAACAAGAGTTTCTTCTTGATTTTTAAAGAATATTGTTTTACCATCTATAGAATGTGTTTGATGTTTTCCCCGTAATTTATCAATCAACGTTGTATGTGGAATATTAAATTGTTTTGCTGCAGTTGATATAGTTTCTCCATCTATAATGGTTTGCAGAGCAGCCTGAAAAATTTCTGCATTATAATTTTTTTGTCGCTTTGGTTTATAATTACGTACCATCTATACATTTTAACATGAAAAATAATGTTATTAAAATCTACCATAAGTAATAATACATTCTTAGTTTTTTTTATATTGGTATATATATAAATAAATATATATATATACAATATGTAAATACATATATATATATATATATATATATATATATATATATATATATATATATATATATATATACACACAAAAAAAATATATATATATATATATATATATATATATAAATATATATATATATATATATATATATATATATATATATATATATATATATATATATATATATATAGATAGATATAAATGCATTATATTTTACAATGAATGATACATTTGTTTATAATAAATACTACAAAAAATACTTATAACAGATATTTTATACTGTACACACATTTTATACTATATACTTACTATTTACTTTTTACAATATATAATAGTTATACTAAATAGTATAATATTATATATATTTTTTAAAATAGAATAAGATCTTTGCTATATAATATATAATAAAAGTCTTATTTTAATGTAAAATTAGTAAATAATATTAACTATTCTAATAATATTTATTGAATTTCAATAATATTTTAACAATATTTAATACTTATACATATTTTAAATATGTATAAAAATAGGCAGTGGATAGCCTAAAAATATATAACATATATGTTTTATATACTTATTATTTACTGTATATATATTTCAGACTATACATTATAATAAGTTTGTTTACATATTTCACATCAAGGTCGTGTTTATAATTAAAACTTCAAAAAGTTTTAAAAGCTAACTGTAAATTTATATATTCTGAAGACCCTTTCTCTTATAAATGTCTAAAGCTTTGGAGCGCATTTTGATCACAATTTGTTTTTCTTTCAAACGGCGCTCGGTAGTTTAAAAATTTGCATGATGAAACAACCTAATTTATTTTTCGTATTAACTTTTCTTCAACGACGAAGTTGCCCCTCATTTAAGCATGTGCTAACAATCATTACGTGACGATTCCAAAGGCAAAAACATAGTAACTTAAATTATTATTTAAAAACTACTGACATCAATCAATCAAAAAATATATACTTTGTGGTCAAAACATTGCGTATTTTGATAATTTTTTGACGATAGGCATTTAAGCAGAAAAATATTTTTTCAACTTCAATGTTTATTTGCAATATTTAAAGAATAATCGGAGGTAAATATATAAAACATTTATTTAGTACTATTCTACAAATATCAGTTGAAAAAGTTTCGAAAAAACCTAGTTAATAGATTTCTTAGTTTTTATGCATTATTATTTTAAAGCTGAGTCGCATAAGTGACGGATTCGCTCCGTGACGAATTCACCCCGCCTTACCCTATTATAAAATTTTAAAAGTTTAACAATCAAACTTTTTTCAGGTAACAAAACTAATTTGGAATTGCAATTGAACCATATTTCTTTTCAACTACAAAGCATTCATTGAATAATAACATTTTTGTCTTAAATACCATCTAAATCTTTTAATGTGTAGAAAAATCTTGCTACTTCACCATAAGTTGCTAGATCTGTAATAGGAAGATCAGAAGGGCTACCACCATATAAATTACACCGTCTATTTCTTTTTACAGGAGGCATTTTTGTATTATTGTAATAAATTAAGTTTGATAATATAGTTAATATATATTATAGATTTTATAACTCCTTATAAGTAACAGTAAAATGCTTTCCCAAGGTTTAATCTACAATTTGATACTCTGCTTTTTGGTTTGTTTACATTTTTTTAAGGCTGCATGTTATAATAAACAGGGTGTTAACTTAAAACAAACTTGAAAAAATGTATAAAACTATTTTAAAAAAACACAATTGAATAACTGGAAAATGTTTTTTTTATAATCATTGAATCAATGATGCACAAAAAATATATTTTTTAGTTTTTTTAGTATGCTTTTCAAAACAGTCCTTTCTAGTTCTTTCAGTTTATGTAGCAGATTGAACACTTGATATATCCAATAAAAATGGCGACTTATAAGAAATCTTTTAAGTTGCAATTTTAATGTTTATTTTTAAAATAAGATAGCTTCTACTCAATTTTAAAAGTTACTTTTTTCGCCAAAATTCCTATTTTTTTTTTAAGGTAATTACTCCAGCTTGAAGTGATAAATTTCCAGAAATTGCTGGTGTCTAATATATATATATATATATATATATATATATATATATATATATATATATATATATATATATATATATATATATATATATATATATATATATATATATATATATACATATATATATATATATACATATATATATATATATATATATATATATATATATATATATATATATATATATATATATATATATATATATACATATATATATATATATATATATATATATATATATACATATATATATATATATATATATACATATATATATATATATATATATATATACACATATATACATATATATATATATATATACATATATATATATATATATATATATATATATATATATATATATATATATATATATATATATATACATATGTATATAGATATATATATATATATATACATATATATATATATATATATATATATATATATATATATATATATATATATATATATATATATATATATATATATATATATATATATATATATATATATTGTTATTTCTCTTTAGGGCACATACATTTGTCTGATTTTAATATAGCAACTTGGATACCTGATGGAAAACTTGCAACCTCTATCAGCGGAACTAAGCCTTATATGGGTACTTTATTAATTAACGTTTTTTTTTCATAAAAATTTTTTTTTTTGTTTTTTTTTCCCTTTTTTTTTCTTCCAATTTAGTAAATTTTAATGATTTAATATTAATTTTGTTGATCGTTAAAAAAATTAAAAAACTCAATTTAACTTTTTCAAAATTAAGGTCGGAATAGCTTTCTGGTCACATTACAACATTTGTTTGTTAATTATTATGTTTTGTTGTGTAATTAGTTTATTTTCTTTGCAATAAGTGTTTTATTTTCAGATTTTGACTATTTTTAACACTGCTCTAGAAAATGTAATATTCTCTAATACTTGACAAAATCTTGCTCATTAATAAAATAAGTTAAATGTTACTTTAAGTTGAACACTTACTATAAGTTGGTGTTGGGACTTTTTTATGCGTTATTACAGGAAATTTATATAGATTTAATGATTTGTGTATGTAGGAGATAAAATTACCTACACAAATAGCTATATGGCATAGCTATTTGTGTAGGTAATTTTATCTCCTACATAGCATGTGTGAAGATAGTTTATCTAGCATATCCACATATTTATATAGATTATTGTGGATTGTTTACTGCTTAAAATAAAGCTTTAAAATTAGGTATAGCCAAATGTTTAAAGGAAAAAAACAAAGTGAGACTAACTTAGTGTATCCAGGCAAGATAAAATTTTATATTGAGTTACTTTATCTAAGCTATTGTTGCATATGTTTTGTTACTTACAAATTTCCCATAGTTTTCATTCTGTTGATTCTGTCTTCCAAAATAGTAGTTTTAATAAATTTTTTTAGAGAAAAGCATAAGCTTTTTTCTGTGAAGAGAAGAGGGCTGAAGCAGTCATATGTCTTAAAATTAATAAAATAAAGTTAAACATTTTTATCACCTCAGTTATGAAGAAGAGTTTATGTTTAATAAAAATGCAAAATCCATTCTACTTGTATTTGTTGCTATGATAATGGAACATAAGATGCAATATTTAGAAAAATTGTTAATGTCGCAAAAAATGAAATTATGAAAACAAATAATTACACAATGGTTTTGAATATGCATATCATTTAAAATGACCTTATTTAATTTTAATTCTGTATTCTTTTGTTTTTTGAATTCTTTTTAAATGAGATTTTTAAATTTAAACTTTTTTTTTTTTTTTAAATTTCAGCTCCAGAAGTTTTTGAAACTGAAGCTGGTACTTGTGTTGGATACTCTTTTGAAGCTGATTGGTGGAGCATGGGTGTTTCTTTATTTGAAATATTATGCAAAGAGGTATTTTTTTAAATAAAATTGATTTTATATATATATTTTTATATAAAATCATTGAGGGTTAAAACAAAGATAAAACAGTTAAAATGTATTAACTAAATGACTTCTTTAAACTTTATCTGTTATATTTATATAACACAAGTATCTGCAGTATCTGTTATATTTATATAACACAATTGAATATTAAAGCACTTTTTTTTCATACTGTGATCTTCTCATATTCGACACTTGTAATTTTCTCATACTTAAAATCATATAGTGTATTTCAGCCAAAATCATGCCTGAAAAATATTTAGACAATACTGATAAAAGGATGTCTGTGTCCTTACCTTCCTCAAATTTACTTCTGTCCAGGTTTCATGCTCCTTGGTCCACTTATATAACTGTGTGATATGAAAGGGCCAAAGGATTTTAAAACCTGACCACATTCACTATGTTAACCTGGTATTTTTCTATGGTATGTCAATATGCCTTCAGTCCATTATCTTAAAGTTGTTCACAGTCTGAGGGCTTAAAAGTATACCTTCATCAGCTAATTCTATTACAATTTTCTTACATGAGGTAAGAAAATTGTAATGGAATTAGCTTCTCTTCTTTTGGTTATACTTTCCAATTTTTAGAGAGTCTGATTTTTTTAAGATTAATTCACCTCCTCAAGACCAAGAAAGTCGCTATAGACGAGGAGGCTAGTTGCGGTTATAAATCCTCTCTCAACTCTATAACTCCGAAACATGAACCTTGACGAACAAGGTTGCTGCGCGGAAAAATATGTTGACAAAAGAAAAATTTTTGCCCCTAAAGACAGATTTTGCCTCATCAAGCTTACAGTTTCACTGTTTTCAAGCAAAACTATTATTTGGCCTTTTCTTCCTTTGACTATTTTTACTCATATTAAATTTGTCACTGGTATTAACAATAAATTCATTTGATTTCCAGCATAACTTGTTTTCTTTGTTTAGAAACAAAAGTAAAACAGATTCAATACCATTCCAATACACTGAATTAAAAATTGATTGAAAAGTTTAGACCCAGTTACAGTTTGAGACTAATCAATTTATAAATTATTCAAACAACTTTAAAGGTGAAGGACAGACTTTATGTAATTGATCCACAGGCTGGTACATGCATTTTATTTAATGGAAGTTCAAAAAATAATCAGAAAGATAATTTTATCTGTCTTAAATTGAGATTTTTTAATGAAATTGTAAAAATTCATAATAATTTATATATATATATATATATATATATATATATATATATATTATATTAAAATAATAATAAAATACAATTAAATTTGTAACATAACTCAGAGTTTCACGCTATATGCGATCATCAGACGTTACAAACAACCATAATAACAACAAAAATTATATACAAAAATACAATACAGTGTTAGCTTATTATAAAAACTTTTCTAAATCTAATTGAAAATGCTTTTCAATTAGATTTAGAAAAGTTTTTGCGAGGTTGGTTTTTACATTTTGCGAAAACGGAGGATTAAACCAAATAATGTTTCGTGATCTTGATTTTGGTTTTGGTGGGGTAAGATTTTTTTGAAAAGTAATCTTTTCATTGAACCCACTTGCTGCTAATGCATTGTTATAAAACGATGTTGCTCTATCGAAAACTTCTTTGCTAGATGAAATATTCCTAATACGGCTAGATATCATAGTTGGTATGGATTTAATGGAAGTTCAAAAAATAATCAGAAAGATAATTTTATCTGTCTGAAATTGAGATTTTTTAATGAAATTGTAAAAATTCATTTTCTAAATCTACTTTTCTAAATCTAATTGAAAAGCATTTTCCAAAGACACATAAGTTTCACAAAATTTTTAATAAAAATAATTTAAAAGTCAGTTATAGTTGTCTTCCAAACTTCACCAATATTATCAACTCACACAATAAAAAAATATTATCTAATGTTTCCAACACAATTGTTCCAACGTGTAACTGCCGGCAACCTTCACAATGTCCTTTGCAAGGTACGTGTCTTAGTAAAAATATAATTTACGTCTGCAATGTTAAAACATCACCACAAGATAGTGGTTTAAATTATATTGGTTTAACAGAGCACATCTTTAAAGATCGCTGGTACAAGCATAAGAACTCCCTTCAATACGAAAGTAAAGCTAACGCCACAGAACTTTCTAAATATATCTGGGAAATGAAAAAAAAGGGATTTTCAAATCCTATTCTTACGTGGAAAATTATTGATAGGGCAGAACCTTTTAAACCTGGAAGAAAGTTATGTAACCTTCGTTTAATGGAAAAATACCATATCATTACATCACCTTTGAAACTATAAAATAAGCGAAATGAATTAATATCTAAATGTCGCCACGAAAACAAATTTGTTATCTGCAACTTTAACGTCATCTAAGCTAACACTGTATTGTATTTTTGTATATAATTTTTGTTGTTGTTATGGTTGTTTGTAACGTCTGATGATTGCATATAGCGTGAAACTCTGAGTTATGTTACAAATTTAATTGTATTTTATTATTATTTTAATATAATATATATATTTGCTCTACTTTTGTATTGAGCACTGTCTATCAAAAAATTACTCTTACTACTGGTATATATATATATATATATATATATATATATATATATATATATATATATATATATATATATATATATATATATAACGGGTTATAACTGAAAAATGATAATAACTTTGAAGGGACATAACTCCCTTGGTTCATGAGATAAAGGCTTATTTAAAAAAGAAAAATATAGTATTTTAGGTAGGCAATATATTTGCGTATTAACTTTTTTCGATCAAATAAGTAGAGCAGCCGTGGCGCAGTGGTAGCGCACTTGACTCAGAAATGTAAGATCCCTGGTTCAAACCTCACCTCTGGGCAAGTTATGCGACATTGGTTGGGAAGGAGGCGTGAACTTCCTATTAAATGCTCTTCCGCGGTGCCCTGTGATAAGACCGTAAGGACTTCTTGGGGCACAAAATATGCATTCGCCATCAAAATGGTGCTTTTTTATAAATAGAGTTTGTTCTTGATACAATTATTTTTGTAGACATTCATGGTTGATTGCAAAGCCACTTTCTCTAAATATTGGCAAAGATATTATTTTATTGTAAAGCAAAGCCAAACGAGTAATTTTTTTTCATATTTAGCAGTGGGGTTGAATTTGACACTTGTTGGTGTTTGAGAAACATAACTTGAATAATAAATAACATTTCCATGAATCAAAGAGTGGTTAAATGTGAAGTACGACTTGTCATCAAGGATAAACAATTTATTGGCGGAAATTTGATACAGCCAACCACACTTTGTTTGAGCTGTCTCTATTTGGTCACAAGCTCTTAATGGAATTTTCTTCTTTTTTGGCCTGATTAAGGACTTTGATGTTTTGCTGATATATACTTAAGTGCAATTTGCGAGCTGCTTGTGTTTGCAATATACTGTCTTTGTGATCAAATATTGTTTTAAGTCTTTCGATGTTTCTTTTTGTCATTATTTTAGCAATCCTACCACTTCCAAGGACTCTCTGGTGCCCAGAATTATTTCTAAAAACTTTTTCTCTTTAAATTGATTTTTCAAATAGAAGCTCTACAAACAAGGGGCTTCTTGTTTTTCTTTCATTTCTCTCTGTAACAATAAATTATTTTAATTTTAAAATAAAACAAGTTTTGTTGAGAATTGAAAGTGCTACAAACTAGGTAAGATTGCAACCATAATTAATATAAAGTATGTTACATAACTTTGTCTTCAAAGTCATTACTGTTTTTTAGTTATAACTAGTTTATATATGTGTGTGTGTGTGTGTGTGTGTGTGTGTGTGTGTGTGTGTGTGTGTGCGTGTATACTAGGGTACTTGCTTTTGAGGAAATTTTTGAATTTCAATTAACTACCCCTTAAAATGTGGGACATATTATTACATATTATGACATATTATGAGTTATATTTTTTTATGAACGAAGATTTATTTTTAATTGATTATTAATTATTTAAAATAATATAAAATATCATTAAAATAAATTTGTTTGGTTATCATCATTTTTAAATCATTTTTTCTATTGTAGAAAGTGAGTCAATTAACCTCTTTTAGACAATTTTGATGACTTTTTTCCAAGCCTTTTTGAAGCAAATCTAGCTTTATCATCAGTAAGTAGTCGGTTCTGAATTATTTCTTCTTTATTATATCTGTGAACAAACTGTTGCAACATTCCTACTGCTCTTTCAGCAGGATCATTTACAACAACTAGAGATTTAACAAAATCTTTGAAGATTCTAAAACTTGATTGTGTGCACCAATACTGAGGTGGGAGGGTAAACCAGTCTCTAATCCTTTGTTTATCCAACCCAATTCTATCAAACATCAAATAGGAGAATTGATCAACTAGTAATGATAAACTTGGAGATCGTTGTAAACTCTCTTTTCAATCCTAACCTTGTTTTCTGCTTCAATGAGCAATCTGTTGTAAATTTTAAAATAATCAGAGTTTGGCATATCATATTGAAGCATAGCAGAGGCAATCTTATTTTTTTCTTCGTTAGAAACGTCTTTATCCAACAAAGAAAGAAGTCTAGAATCTAGATACCAGGAATGTTTGTAAAATGATTTCAATACTACTTCAACTGCATCTGGCAAAAACTTCTTTGTATAGATGCATTTTATGTATTGATTAAATATCTAGAAATGGTGCTTTGATAGTCTTATCAGATTGCAAATACCATTTTGCATAAAAACATGCTATGAATTCCACCATGATATTTATTTCTTCTAAAAGTAGTTTATCTTCCTGAACAAATTTGATTTGATTAGAAAGAAGTTTAGAACTTTAAATAACATATGGCTTTTCTAATGAACCTTGGATGGTGGACAGATCCTGGTTTCCTAATTTTTACACCTTCAGAAGACAAATAAGCAACAACTAGCTCTGCTAGTTCTTTTCTATTGTCTCTTAAAACTTTTTCACTTTTAATATATTCTTTGCAAAAATTTAGAGACTCAACTGCAGCACATTTGATAACAGTTCCTTTTGTTTTATCCCAAAGAAATCTTGCAACATTAGTATCATAATGAAAACCAGGAGTTTCAAATATGTCTTTGAATTTTTTAAATAAATGATTCTCTGGTCCAGATGTCTTTTTTTGAGTCACAACATTACAAAAGTGAACAATCTTCAGCTCTGATGTGGTGTCTACAAGCAAGAAGTAATGGATAGATATCTAGATTGTTTGCTAAGCTAAAAACAGAACCCTTTTTTGTTCCAATATTACTGGAAGTTGTATCAAAGCATAGCCCTCCGATGTTTTCTTTGGTTTCATATTCCTTAAGGAGATTCATCACACCTTTATACTGATCCTCCCCTGAGGAAGATGCTAAAAAAGGTATTTGGAGAAGATAAACCTCTCCATCAATATTTAAAAGAACTGCTAATCTGTCATTTTTGAATCACTTGCCTTTTTTTAATTCAAATAAGGTTTTACCATCGAAATGAATGATAGGTGGATATTTCGAGGCTTTTAAAGCAGCTTTAATGTCATTTCTGGCTTGTTTACTTATTATTAAGTTTCTTTTTCATATGTGATGAGGTTGCTAAAATGCTGCAATGTAAATTACTTACATCCACACCAGCTTTATAAACAACAGAAGTGACAACTTTATGGAGAACTACAGGAAATATATCATTGACTGGTGCTGCAAGAGCAACACTACCACCGTAAATATCTTAAAGAGTTGTGCAGGTAACTGGTTTTTCATTTATTTTTTATTTTCTCTTCGTCCAATCTCCAGATTCAAAGTCTAAATCATTCAACATTTAAGTATACAACATCTAAAATTAGTTCTTGATATAAATTTGCTTTAACTTCCATTATGTATTGTGTTTTCTTTTAAACTTTTTTTTTTGGAATACTCTTTCGAGACATTTTACTATATTTTTTATCCTCGGTTCCAAGAATAAACTTTCTATGGCTTTTTTGATCATCTAAAAACTTCAAATCTTCGGCTTTGTCTTTATCTGATCTTTTCTTGTCGATCATTATGGTATGTCTAAGATTTGGTGTACCAATCCAAAACACTTTATTAATCTTTTATATAAAATTATTTTGTTTTTTTAAATCTATAGTTGATCTTCTCTTTTCATTTTTTAAATTGTAATATTCTTTTTCTAGATTATTTAGATGCTATCTAAGAGTTTTGTCAGAAACTGTTGGAAATCCAGCTTTATTCCAAGGAGCTCTAATCATAGATGATATGCACTTGCATTTACCATTTTTGCACTGACTCTCTTTCATCTTATTAAGCATGCAATATAGTATTGATGACTTTTTCCCATTTGTTTCCAGTGTAGATTTTATGTAGTGAAAGTTTTTTAGTATTTCCATTCCATTTGGAAGTTGAATACCTTGATAATATAAAAAAGCATTTATTGATGTTTAATATTAATATTTCAATACTTGATTATTTATTATAAAATTAATTTTTTCTAGAAAAGTTAATACTATAAGCTATAACGTTATCATTCTTTATATAAATTTGAGTGCAAGATAAAGAGTATATAATCATCCATTGAAATAATATCACCTGATATAGTTGGATTAGCTTCTCCAATAAGAAAAACAACTTTTTTTTCTTAACCTAAGCTCTCTTTTTTTATCTGTGTTTTTCTTTTCTTTAATGTTCATCGTAAAACCTAAAATACAGTCATAAAACCTGCATAAATGTATAAAAAATAGTATTTTCAAAAATAAATACTGTATTTTAAAAAATAAAATAAGAAAAACAAAGAGTTCAAACATACCTGTAAATTCAAGAAAACTACAAATTCATAAACTCTATTTTTATAAATTCATAAACTCTATTTTTACAAAATTCTCTCTATATATGCAGCAAAAATTTGATATGGCAATAAGTATTTTATTTTATTTATTATAATCTAAACAAGTAAAATTGTTATGGCCATGCAAATATAATAAAATAGTAAAGAAAAAGAAAATAGTTGATCAAAAACAAAATAAAAGTGTTTTCATCGTTCTTTTAATTCGCGGAAAAATATATATATATATTTTTTTTTTGCGATTTTAATGCCATTTAACACAATAAAACAGCAAAAGTTGGCATATTCTGCCTTAACTACCCTTTTTATTTGAAAATATACATCAATACCTAGCTTATAAAAAAAAATCTGTTCAAAATTTTGATATTATTACCTCCCCCAAGCCTTATGAATATGGTCCTTTTTGGACCATTTTTTTTTAATTAAAAGAGGTCAGGGGGAGGCACAATAATGGTCCAATCAGACTAATTTTTTCCCAAAGTTAGTTTTAACATTAATGTCCCACATTTCAAGGGGTAGTTAATTGAAATTCAAAAGTTTCCTCAAAAGCAAGTACCCTAATATATACCCGTGTATATATAAATAAATATATATATATACATATATATATACATATTTATATATATATATTACCCATGTATATATAAATAAATGTGTATATATATATACATATATATACATATTTATATATATTATATATATATATATATATATATATATATATATATATATATATATATATATATATATATATATATATATATATATATATATATATATATATTTGAATTTAGCGACCATTTAAAATCTGCTGTGATTCGCCTTCAGAAAATTTAGAAGTTTTGGAAAAAACAAAGATAGTTTTGGCAATTCCAATCACAATGATTATGTCACAACTGATGTTAGCTTTGTTGGAGTTTGATAAAAATAAAAGGCTATCTAGTGTCAACGATTTAAAGTTGTATATTAATGACTATGATGCTCGCTTGGAGAAAGCCTCAAAGAAGCAACTTAATGCTATTTTTATACCAAGTGTAAGTTTTTTTGGTGATTATAATTTTTATAAGCATGTTCGCATTCTCAATTTCTTTTTAATTTTTTTATTGACTACTTTTTTTGTGTGTGATTTTCGTTGGTAAAATTTTCTCTGTCAATTTTTCTTCTTCATTTGTCTTTTTAATTCTTTCATTGAATTTTTAGTTTTTCATAATATTGATTTAGAGTGAGAAATTAAACTGTGAAGCTATTCATGAACTTGAAGAAATGATAACTGAATCAAATCCTCTTCAAAAGCAGCGTAAAAAAAAGCTAACAAAAAAGGTGATTACATCTATTTAGTTGCTATGGCGTTACTATATTGAAGAATTTATCTGAAATCTCTTGTTTTATGTTTTTAGCAACCTTCTTGTGTTGACATCAATGATCCTATAGAAGAGTTATCAAGGAAATTTTCTTCTTTCCAAAGAATCAGGTTTTTTTAATATATATATATAGAAATGAAATTTTATTTAAAAGCTATATAATGTTTATACGTTTTTTTCGAAAAAGAAGAAAAAAAAACGAAGAATAATGAATAAAACGATTGCTGCCCCATCCCAAACCCTCAGTCGATGTAGCAGCACTCCACCGCGAGTCAGGCTATTTGTCAGTCAATGTATGTACTGAAGCCCCCAGCAGCAGGCTATTTCAGTATGACATCAGATTGCTTACCTTAGTACGCAATACTATTTGTATATATATATATATATATATATATATATATATATATATATATATATATATATATATATATATATATATATATATATATATATATATATATATATATATATATATATATAAATATTTGGAGGTGTCTTTGTTTTTTTTTGGCATAATATATTAAGTAGAGATCTTCCAAAATAAAAAACTTAGTTTGATTAATCCTTAAACACTTTCAGTCATCTCAAATAACTAAAAAAGTTGAAATAGATTGAAATAGACAGATTGCTTAGATATCACGACTAAACAAAAAATCTGCACTTAAATAACCTTTGCGATTTAAGTACAAAAAAAAATAAAAGTAAATAGATAAAAACTTCTTAAATATATTATCTTTTAATTTTAACTAAAATTTACAGAAAAACAAACTTACAAACTCTTTTGTTATTGTTTATGTTTATGTTTTTATTTTTTTAATTGTTTTATGTTGTTTTTATCAATTTACATTGTTTTATTTCTTTTTCTAGTTTTTTACATTGTTATTTTTTACTTGCATTAAAGGATACATTTATCAATTAAATTAATTTGGCATAGACATAATGTATGTACATCTATTGACTAATTTATCAATAGGTACAGGTAAATGTCTTAAACGAGTGTACATCAACTAAAAGATTTGTTTTTTACTGTTTTATTTATTTTTATTTTATTATATATTATTAATTATTGCTATTTATATTATCATATTTTTATAGTTCGTCAAATGATGAAAAAGAAATGACTGTTGAAACTCGTGCTATTCTTGACACTTCCATGTACTCAAATAGTCATTTCAGTTCTCCAAATTATAATTCTCCTGGTACTGTTTTATCTCCAAAAATTCCAATAAATATTGGTGCCAAGACTTTAGTGGCCTCTAACAGGAGCAAAAATCTATCAATTTCGACTGAAAATTTTGGGATAGTTCGTATTGAAGAACGTGGTTTAAAGAGTGAACACTCTCAAAACTGTAGTACTGCGTCATCTGCTATTTTAGATGGTTCTTAACTTCTCTTTTTTTTTTAAAAGTCTTTTAAATAATGTTATTTTTGTACATACTGTGATTATAGTCTTGAGTTTTAAAGGCTTAAAATAAGTTTATTAATGACAGTTTATTAGCGCTGTACATGCTTTTCATTTTTAAAAAGGAAAAGTAGCTTTTTTATTTATATTTTTTTAATATTAATTTTTTTTCTAATTATTATTGTTGGTCTTTTGTTGCATTCTAAATTTTTAACACTGACCAGTTTTTTAAATTAATATGTTAGTTTGTCATGATCTTTTTTTTTTTGTCATGATTGTTTTTTGTTTTTTTTTCTTTGGATGTAGTCATTTTCATTTGCATGCATGTTTATGACATTATGGTTTTTAGCGTTTTAATTTCTTAAAAAAGAAAAAAAGATTTTTACTGTTCTGTTGAAATTTGTTTCAAGTATCAAGAAACTTTTGATTTTCTTATTTTATGCAGCAAACAAGACTTGAGAAAAAAAATTTTATCGTTCTTTTTTACTTTTTTTTTTTTTAATTTATTTTTCTTTACATTTCAAATTTGTAGTAAGAAAAATATTTTCTTATAGGTTTTTAGTACATTTAAAAGAACTGGTAAAGTTTTACTATTCGGAAAATTTATTGATTTAAAACTTCGTGTTTTAAAATTTTTTACAGAAAATTGTTATTTTCAAAAATCTTTAACTTATTTATTTCAATTATATTTAGAAGATATTGTGTTTTTAATATATTTTTATGAAGAGTTAGTTTTTAGTATTAAAAAAAAAAAGATGTAGATTTTATTTATTAAAAACGAAAACAAATTGTAAACATTCATGTTCTTATTTATAGATTTTATAACTCTCTAAGGCTTTTCTTTGCGATTGAAATTCTTTTCATAACAATTTTTGACAATGCACAAATATTGTTAAGTAAGTATATTTGCTTATTTGACATTACTTTCTTATTCATAATGAACTCTGAATAATAAATACATAATAAAATAGATTTATTATAAATGGTTTACATCAATTTAAGTTGATAAATTTTGATAGGTTTTGAAGCAGTTACAATTAGTCAGCCAACTTTGATTGTTTATCTTGTATAGTTGACTCTCGATATCTCGAACTTTTGTGTATCTCGAACTATATTACTGGTCTATTGCGCATTTATTTGACCCAAAATTTTTTCGATATCCCGAATTTTTTTCTCGGTCCCTTGAGAGTTCGAGATACCGAACTGTATACTCATCTAACTCATCTAACTCATCTAACATACTGTATACTCATCTAATACAATGACGTAAAAAATCGAAAAATAGCTAAAAATCATTAAAGTCCAGTTGGCAAATTAAAATTTGGTACACTTTTTTTTAATTAGTAATGTCGAATATTTTATAGGCCGGCTGAATAAAAAAAAGCAATTGCTTTTACTCAATATTTTTTGAGGTAAATTGCTCAGCTTTACGTGAATTTGAGCAATTTTACTCAAATATTTATTCACGTAAAGCTGACCAATTATTTCAAAAACGCTAAGTAAAAGCAATTGCTATTTTTTTTTACTCACCTGGCCTTATATTTTTCATTTTATATTTTTATGCCAAAAAATACATTATTCGACAGTTTTGCATCATAATAAAACAACCAAATGCAAAAATTTAAAGATATGTTTAACATTCGATAATTTCTTAAGACGTTTTATCCTGTTATAAAAGTCAAAACTAGTATTCATTATTTAAAAAAATTTGATTATCATAGAAATGGAAGAGGGGTAGTTATAACGTATTAAAGTCAACAACTTTTGTGCTTTTAATTTTAAATATGTGCCAAGTCAATGCGGGAAAGAATGTATATAAACTTTTACCTTTTTTCATGTGTTAACATATTTCATATTTGCTATTGTGAATGAAAATTACAGTGAAGTATTTACCTTATCTTAACAGCAACTGTGAAAATTATACTAAATTATTTACCTCCTTTTATCAGCAACTATGAAAATCGTACTAAAGTATTTAGCTTATCTTTATAGTAACCATGAAAATTATATTGAATCATTTGCCTCTTCAATTTAGAACCTTTATAAGATTGTTAAAGATAAAGAGATATCCCTGTAGGGGGTTGGTGTTGGTGTTGGGGGAGGGTATACCTAAAATAAAGTTGCAATGTGATTATTACTTGTTATAAATTGTTGCCACTGTTACGATCTTTTTCTGTTTGGTATAACTAAAATATCTCTAAAAGCGGCTTTATATTTACCAATAATACTTTTTATTTTGCCTGTAAAGTTTAGGCGTCAGCGCAAAATTTCATTTTGTTATCAGTGCTATTTTTAGTGCTTGCTAAGATATATGTTTCATCGAATCAATAACTAGGGTTGCCAGATATTTTGCGATATGCGGTAGCCAGAAGTTTATAATAAATGGGACGACTGAATAAGCGCAAATTTCGTAAGTGCGAACTGGCATAAGTACGAATGGCGTAAGTGCGAACTGGCATACATGCGAATTGGCATAAGTGCAAACTGACATAAGTGCAAAGCAGTTATAACACTGGCACAAGTGCGAACTGGCATAAGTGCGAAATGACATAAGTGCTCTGAAAGAATTTCCAAACATTGGCATAAATGCGAACTGTTATAAGCGCGAACTGGCATAAGTGCGTTGAACAAACTTGCAAGCATTGGCATAAATGCAAATTGACGTAAGTTCGAACTGGCATAAGTGCTAAGCAGTTAGAGAAACTGGCATAAGTGCGAATTGGTATAATTGCCAATTGGCATAATAAAAGTGCACCGAATAAATTTACAAACATTGGCATAAGTGCGTATTGGCATAAATGCGAATTGGCTTAATTACGAAGCAATTACAAAGACTGGCGTAAGTGCGAACTGGTATAAATGCGCCGAACAACTGCTTTGCATTTATGCCAGTTCGCACTTAAACAATAATTGACAATTGAATTGGTTTTGTCACTACTGATAAAATATTAAGTTTCTGTCCAAGCCCTCGCACTCAAAGTTTGGTAAAACGTTAAGTTGAAAAATTTTCAGTAAAGAAAAAAAATATGTGAAAAAGATCATCTTTCGATAAGTTTTTCAACTTTTTCCGAGTTTGAAAAAAAATACTATTGTAGATTGATCGAGAAGTAAAAAAGGCTTTGTCTAAATTAAACAAGATTTGCATTCTGTGTTGTCATTCTTCCTTCGCGCTTTACTTAGAAGTATTTTTCGCATTTGAATTTTTATGAAGAGCTGTGGTTAAGTCAAGTTTTTAAATAAGATCAATTCCGTCTACATTTTTGGTTCCCATTGCTTTTGTGTACTAGTATCAATAGGGTTGTAAAAATATTGAACACGTTTTGATAGCAACAAATTTACGGTTTTACTCTTTTTCCTCGCAAATATTATAAGATTATAATTTGATAGTATTTTTTTATTTATTTATTTATTTAAACATAAAAATATGAAATTTATAACCATACATCATAAATTTATCTAAGATGGTTAGGTGTCTTTAAAATTTTCCACTGAAATCAAGATACATCTGAAAACAGGAAATAGAACTCTTTTTACCAACAAAATTAATTTATCCTAGACAAAAGTGATAAATAAAATTTCTGTGGTGTTTTTGATCTCAATCTTTATTTATATATGTCATCTTGATCTTAACTATTTTACTTGTAAAAGTTAAGTTGCAATTGCTAATGTTGATGTTTTGTTATTCCAATTATTAACAATTTATTTAACTTATTTGTATTAGTAATTAGTAATAATTATAATAACAACAATTATAACAACAAAAATTAAAAACACTATTACCAACAGTATTAGTAATTTTATTACAATATATATATATTTTTTTATTGTTACTATTATTATTATCGTTTACAAAATTATTGTTTTGTAAAATAAATGACGGTAATAAGTTTATGATTAAATACTTGTTCTGTTTTATACTCTACAATCCAGAACTTAAAACTTTCTATCTTTAGGGTTGTGTAAAGTACCAGTAATAAAGGTTAAGATGTTAAAAATTTTTGAATCCAATCTTTTTATATTCATGTTTTTCTAAAATTAATTAAAGTTTTTTGTTTTGTTACAATTAAAGAAAAAAATTATGTCTTTAACTAATTATACTTAATAATTTATCTAACTAACTTCAAATATAAAAACATTTAAAATACTCAAAAAAATATTTTTGTTTGACTCTTTCTGTTAAAATTAATATAAATGATAAAATATATTTTGTTTTTCTTGTTTAAAAGCATTTTTTTATTATGACAAAAATAGCACAATTAATGAGTTTGTAAATGATCTGTTGTGCTAAAAAGAATTAAAGTTGTATTTATTTAGAAATTTGTTTTATTTCATGTGAAATAACTTTATTGTAAGCATTTTTATAACTTTTTTTTTAATTAAAATATCAAATTTTCAAATTTGACTTTTTTGTTAAAAATTTGTAATGCGTGCACTGTTATTATTGTTTATTGAGAGTAAAAAATTAATACTTTTAAATTAAATAAGTAATCTTAACCTTTGTCCTACTCTATTTCCTTTAAATTGTCATTTTTATCTTCTGTTGATAATAGGATTTTGGGTTAAAAAGCTTGAAGTAATGAAATGGGAGATAAATATTGAGACTAGTAATAGGTTTGAACATGTTGGTAAGTTTTAATTAGAAGATATGATTGGATAATGAGCTGTAGCAGAGGAGGTGTCAGTTGTAAGAGTGTGATATGTTCGTTTTAAGATCCAAGAATTATCTTTATTTCTAACTTTAAGAGGTGCATTTTTAAAGAGTAAGATTAACAAAAAATTTAACAGAATATGTCCAAAATGTTGTGTCAGTCAAACATAGGCATTAAAGGTTGATAATATATAAAATCTGATATGTGATGAAAAAGTAAAAGCAGATGTAGGGATTATGAAGAAGCATTCTTCATGTTATTCATCTAGACTATGATAATTATTATCATAATGATCAAGATCATGGTTATGATAATCATGATCATGATGATTATGATGATTATGTTGAATATGATGGTGATAATCATAATCATGATTATCATATTATTATGATCATGATTATAGTCATTATCATCATGATCATCATCATGATCACCATGATCATCATAATCATAATAATTGTCATAATCATGATTATGATCATAATGATCAGATCATCATGATTATAGTCATGATTATGAAGATCATGATGATGATCATGATGATGAAATTTAACCAGGAATTTTAATTATAAAAATTCACACTCTAATTAATTCCAAAAGTTATGACTCAACCAATGTAGCTTTAATCAACCAATCAATAACTTCCAATATGTTTGATATTATTATCAATTTATATTTTATATTGCTTATGTTTTAAATTGCTCCTTTGCTCAAAACTCTACACTGCAGAAATTGATTTTAAACTCATCATTATCTGTATTAATTATATTTTAATTATAAAAAGAAATTGATTTTAAACTCATTATTATCTATATTAATTATATTTATATTGCATTAGGAATTTTTTAAAATAATATTCTTATTCATGTAACATTATTATGGAGTTTGGTAATGAAGAATTTGAGACTTTTGAAGATGACATTTATAGAGATGATTTTTCAACTAACAGGTATATACGCTCACAACTATATATATAATAGATTTGTATATATGTGTTTTACAAAACTATTTATTGTAATTATATTTTTTTCAGTGAAAGTGATATAGAAGGATATTTATACAGTCAAGTGCATTATGCTTCAAATCTAGATATTGGTACAAGTTTAGATAATGGTAAGAAAAACTATTCAGATTGCTAATTAAAAAAATATAGCTTTATTTTTGTTTAAACATATGTTGTATTTTACACAATAATAAAATTTATTAACTTGATAATTTTTTAAGAGATTTATAAGTATAAAAATGTGTAAACTTAACCTAAACTAGAAGCTATTTGATGTTTTGGAAAAAAATGTGTAAACTTAACTAAAAGCTATTTTATTATTTTGGAAAAATATGTGTAAACTTTACCTAAACAAGTCTTTGGCATTAAAAAAATCACATTGCCTAACAGTAATGTTTTATGTTTTAGTTAATAAAATCCTTTTTATCCAGTTAATGGTAACATCACGCTGTTAGTCCAATTATTTATAATAAAAAATATTTTTTTAATCTCTAGACAACGGTTTTTGCATAAAATGAAAAAACTTAAATCTTTTAAACTTAACTGTGCAATGATGGAGTACGGCACTTTATTGAAATAAATACAAGTTGCTACCCAATATTATCATTTATGTTTAAAAAAGTAAAAAAATTAAATAAAAAAATTACAAATTAATTTTTTTTTTTTTTTGTTGATATAAAAAAATTCTGCACGAATTATTAAAGGCATCATATCTTGTGCAATCTGCCTGAAATTTAATTCCTCAGTATGAAATTTCATGCATTATTTTATTTTTACTTAATGATGTTTTTGACTGCGTTTTGTGGTTTTCAATAATTTAACAACCAATGTTAAAGTTGTTAATGACGTTTATTAGATAATACGAAAAAATTAAAACAACAGGTGGTTATCAAAATGACTTGAATTCTGGTAATAAATTTAATATTTGTAATCAAATTTGAACTTGCAAAAACTGAATGATTGCATAATAAATATATTCTAATTTTGTAATCAAGTTGTTGCTCTCAATTGACAAACAACACCATAAAAGAATAAAAATACTAAAAATAGAATGAAGAAGCTATTATGACCGCTGTTGCTGATGTTCGTGATAATAACTTTTCTTGGAAAAAGGAAAGTATAAAGTATAACCAATATACCTGCACAGACAATAGGGGATAGAATAGGGGATAGAATAGGGGATACCTGCACAGACAACAGGGGATAGAAAGACAGTAGATATAGTGCTGCCATACAAAAGATAAGTTAGTATTGTATAATTTTGATAAGAAATAAAATTGCATAGTATATAAGTAAATTATATATATATATATATATATATATATATATATATATATATATATATATATATATATATATATATATATATATATATATATAAATGCGGCAGTGGTAAGAGCGCTCGCTTTGTAAGCGAGAGGTTTGGAGTTCAACTCCCACCACGTCCCTGGAAGTATCGCGCTCAACTTAATTTCTCCGCACAGCAGCCTTGCTTGTCAAGGTTCGTGTTTCGGAGTTAAAGAGTTGAGAGAGGGTTGTACCACGATTTACAGCAACAACAAAAAAAATGAGTAGCCTCCTTGACTGTAGTGGCCCCCTCAGGCCTTGGGGAGGTGAATAATTAAATATATATGTATATATATATATATATATATATATATATATATATATATATATATATATATATATATATATATATATATATATATATATATATATATATACATAGAGAGAGAGAGAGAGAGAGAGAAAGAGAGAGAGAGGGTTATGGCATTGAAAGTGATACGACTACTGCAGGTCAGGAATAGTATATGTATATATGGTTGCACACTAGTTTAAATAAAAATAATATATCCACACCTAAACTGTTACCGGATTGTGATCAAGATGTTTTAACACCGCGTGCAACTACAATAAAAATTACAACTACTACAAAAATACAAACTCTAAATAATTATACTCCAGGTATGTACAATAATATCCAAAAGAACATTGTTAATGTCAAACCGGTACAGTCTAAGTCTATTATCCCAACAATTACAATATCTGATAATCTAATCCCTAGATAATCAACTTGTACTAGGAATAATTACTTTGTGCATTTTGGATCACATTTAACCTCTCCAGCACCACCCAGTTTAAAAAATGTTTTTAATGAACCATCTGCTTCATCAAATACATTTTACCAGAATTGGCAGTATTCTCCTTATAAAAACTACCTAATAATTTGAAAAAATGTCATAATAATCATAAAAGATCTAAAAAGACTTGTTGAGACATCTCATGCTGTCAATGGAATCGATTTTTTTTTTTAACTCAACAAGATAATGAAAAAAAGAAAAAGAAACAAAATGAAGAGAAGGAATAAAATAAAAAAGTGCAAAAAGATAAACAAAAATTGAAAAAAAGTGTATCAACGGGTTCTCTCAAAAGAAACCAATCCTCAAAAATCTCTGAATTCTGACTCTGATAGTTACGACTAGTATTGAATTTAAAAATTATCTAATTGCATATTTTTTATTTTTATTTTATTGTTTTATAAAAGTTTCCAATTATTGTTTAGTTTTCTTTTATGCATTAACATAAGATTTATTTTTAGTGCATTTTTATAATAATAATCAACAAGTCATGTTTATTGTTTAAAATCTTTTATAATCCTAATTGGTTTTTAGAAGTGTTAAAAGATCACTGGGACCATTAATTAGTCCCTGTTTCCAGGTTTGTTTTAAATTCCAAAATCAACTCTAATTCTAAGGTAAATATCTTATCTCTAAAAATAATTAACACAGAAATATAGGAATATCCTAATTTTGTAGAATAAATCTATTCAATTTAATAGATAAACAAATGCACGAAATTAAATTTGACTTAATCAATTTGTAAGAAATTGTGCAAATTGTTAAAAAAAGTAAAGTAAAAAAATTGTTAAAAGTTTGAAAACAAATGGATAAAAGAAATAAAGTATTTATTTGTTTTCCAAATTATTACTATGTTGTAGATAAAATTATTCGGCTGCTCAAAATGACATCCATATATTCCTGGAAGCTGTTTGTTCAGATTCCATGATGTTTTCACTAAACATTCACCAAGCTGCTGGAAATTTGCCAACTTACCCTATAGTTATTTGATTATTTTTTTAAAAAATTTGTAAACTCAGCCTAAACTATAGCTATTTTATTATTTTGGAAAAAAAAACTTTGACTATAAATTCTTTAGACTTGAAAAACAAAAAAGTTAAATCAATTAATGGTGCATAGCTCTCAAAGGAAATTTTATTTACAAATTGGTTTTGTAGCATAAACAAATTGAATTGAGAATTTATGACAAAATGTTTGCTGAAATATATTTCGTAAAAATGAAGAACATTACATTTGATGATAGTCAATGGCAATTTTTCTTATTCTTAACCTTGTTAAAAAGATGTCTGACAACTTTAAATGTTAATATGATTTAGCAAAGTAATTTAAATTGAATTTAGATATGACAATAAATTTAATGGTTATTTTGTTTCAGAGTTATTCACATTGGAAATTGTGAGCAATTTTGGTCACTGACCCTACTAATTATTTGTAGCAATTATCATTTACTTAAAGGGACTACCAAGTCCCGAGACATGTTGTGTTCATATTAAAGAGAATGTTAAAAAAAAACATCTGAGCAAATTTTTTTTGATTAAAACTAATTAATAAATGTATACCAAGAAAAACAAATCTTGTTGTTTTAGTCGAAGCTCATCTTCTCCATTTTCTGGGGTATTTTGAGAATGTAAAATAAACGCAATTTTCCAGGTGCATTATACAGATTTAATAATTTATTCAAGCGCATTTAATTCATAGGAGTTTTAGTGCACGACGTCATAGATTTTTTTGTTTGTTTGTTTAAAACACCGATTGTTATTTTTTACATACAATTTCCAAATCATATTCATTTTTATTATATTTTGAAGTTCTAAAATGTGTTTGTAAAAAAATTAAAAACAAAATAGTATTTTATTTGCGCAACTTTTTTTAAATAATCTTCTAGACCACGTGTATTTTGATTTCTTTTGTTAAAAGTTTTTCTTTTAAAATATTAGATAAAATAATTTTTAACCTAAATAATAATGCACTTTTATTAATTTACTTCGTAAATATTAAAAAAAATATTATTAACGCATTTTTTCTATGATTTTTCAAAAATGTATTTTTTGGTATTGAGGTGATCTTATTTAATTATTTATATTTCCATTATTATAACATCCAATATATATTATGGCGGGGACTTAAAAATTAAAAAATTAATATATATTAATTTTTATTTTACAGACATACATTAGTTCATTAGATTTGTAAAAAACGAACGAACAATTAAAAAAATAAACTTTTAATAAAATAAGTAACTATAGTTAGCTATTTTAGTAAAATTTAATAGTAAAATTTTTAAAAAATTTCTAGAATGTTTCCAATGATGTCATGCACTAAAACTCCTATGAATTAAACGCGCTTGAATAAATTATCAAGTCTGTATAATGCGCCTGGAAAATCGCGTTTATTTTACATACTCAAATTACCGCAGAAAATGGAGAAGACAAGCTTCGACTAAAACAACAAGATTTATTTTTCTTGTTATACATTTATTAACTAGTTTTAATCAAAAAAAATTTGCTCAGACGTTTTTTTTTAACATTTTCTTTAATATGAACACAACATGTTTTGGGACTTGGTAGTCCCTTTAAAGTAATTTAGAAAAAAATAATTTTTAGGTGGCTGACTTGTCATTAAAATTATTTAAATAAATTATATTTAAGCAGCCATGATATTTTCCCCCTAATTTGTCTCTTGAATCTGATAATGGCACTCTTTCTATCATCCTAGAGAAACAGGTTAGCCAATTGTTAGACATCTAAATCACTCTAGCTTCAGTTGTTAATGTCATTTTTCAATTAAACTGTTCTACTGCTTGTTATCTCATCAAACAAATCACTCTTTAACAATCAATAAAAATTTTGATCCTTTTGTTCCACTGCTAACTTGTTAGACAATATAACTGAAATGTTCTTTAATGAATTAGATGAAAGCAATGAAACAATTGCTATTACTCCAGAAATTTCAAAATCTTTTGATAAAGTTTGGCATGTTGGTCTTCTCCATAAGTTTGCTTTATATAAGTTATCAGGAAAAAATTTTAAAATTTTTAAGTGATTCCATTTTAACTGCAGTATTCTGATAATAGCAAATTTTATTATTTCAATGAACCATAGTCATAAAAACTTTTTATGACGCTCTCGATTGCTGACCACGCAAATAATATTTAGTTGCGAAAAGCTGGCCAGATTTTGTAGTCGTTTTGAGAACATTTTAACAAGCAAAAAAAAAAAGCGCAAAAGATTAATTGGACCAATGAGAGACAATTACAAAAAAAAAATTAAGCAAATAAAATATCTTAAAATGCGAAAAAACTTAAAGCTAAATAAATTACGTTTAGAACAAATATTTTTGAAACATCGCTTTTATAATTTTTTTTATAAAATTAAGCAATGTTTTTTATGTAAAGTAACATCTTACTATTGTTTAAAAAGGAAACAAATATTCTTTATTAAACAAAGTTTGCAAGTTTTAGTTTTATTTAAGCTAAATTATTTTATAAATAAAAAAGTTAATTTTTTTAATACCTATTTTATGTTTCGCGTAGTTTGAAAAGTTTAACATATTTGAAGCAATTCTTCTTAGTAAGATAAACAAATGAAATAATTAAATCATTGAATTACTATATAAATTAAATTATCAACTAAATCAGCTAAAAAGGTTAAAAATACTTAATGACGAGGAAGCGAAACTGCTTCACAATATCGCTGATGATGTTTAGTGAATGGGCTTTTTTTATTAGTAATTAAAGCAGAAAAAAGTGTAACGAGTTTTTAAGAATGACAACTGAAGCGAAATTAATTAGAGTTAGTAAACCAATATCTAGAAACTTTTCTTTATATCTAATTATTTGCTATATATAATTGTGTTCTATCGTGACCTCAGACACGGTGCTTGTTCATCCGCGAGTTACTTTGTATGCGTTGTTTGTGTTTAGTAACCAGAAACTTCTTATATGTTTGTTACATGATTAGTTTTATTAACTTTAACGATTATAACTTTATTGAAAACGCAATTATTTTTGTAAGTCTTTGTTTAAATCATAAAAATTGCTTTAAAAAATACATTAGGATAAAAAACAGATCAACAAAATTACATTTACATAAAGAATACATACTTTTTAAATAAAAAATAAGAATGTACTAATAAAATCTATAATTTATAATAAACTTTTAAAATTTTGACAATTTAATTAATATATATTTAAAACGTTTATTTTTGTAAACAATTAATATATATTCTTAAAACGATTTATGCTAGAAATCTGAAAACGTAACAAATCGTGAATAATATAATTTCTAAAACATTTCAACAGAATGCTCTTTATTTCGCTTAGTCAGCGTATTTTTTGAACCAATAGAATTAGTTTGTTCGTTAATTTGGCGGGTTTTTAGTGTTCGCAAATATTCTTTTTATTCTTTTGTACCAAGATGTTTTGAGAACATTCAAGTTTTTTATGTTTCCATGTATGTCCGTAAAACAAAAATTTTTTGTTTCGTAAATAAACTTCTGTTGTTGTTCTCAAAACGACTAAAAAACCTGGCCAGTTTTTCGCAACTAAATATAATTTCCGTGGTCAGTATTTGAGAGCGATCGCTCCCGCTTCCCAACCAAGCCTGGTATTCTTCGTTGCCACAATAGCGTGCACTCGCTTGTTAACTTTTGTAATTCTTTTGTAATTAAACGACATTTGTTGTTGTATTTGCGGAGACTTTGTTATTGTGACTTTATTTTGCTATGCGATTTTTGTATAGAGAAAGTAAATATTAATTATAAAAATGAACTCCTTTTTTATTTTTCTATTTTTAAAACATTTCTTTTGATGACACAATTTATTACATGATGGTGTAAGGGTTTGTCCATAAAAGACGTCAAACAGAATTTGAATAATAATTAGAAGTAGAAGATCATTAGCTCTCTTCCGCAGAAATTTTCATTTAGCATAATTCAATATATTACTTTAACAATTGTCCTTTAATGTTCACCAGTGAAAAAAATATATATATTCAAAAGAATACTCTTAACATAAAAGTGGCAACGATATATTAAGACTAAAAGTAAATCAAATATATTATTCTTAATAATAATTAACTAATACACACTGATTATTTTATAATATAAAAATATATAATTCTGAATATCGTGATTTTGTTTTATTTTTGGCGTTGTTCAATCAACGTATGCAGCGCTAAAGTGGAGAATAAGTAGAAAGAATATAAGAAAAGGGCCCCACACATTTCCGGAACACATTTTAATATCAGGGGAGGTGAGGGGGTATAATTGGGAAATTTATTGACAAAATCCTAATTTCGTCAAAACGCTAAAAAATTATCTTAACTATGAGCAAGCTTGAAAAAAAACGAAGCAAACAAATCTTCATAAAAAAAGTAACAAAAAAAAACTGAATTAAAAAAACTAAAACTGAATTAAAAAAACTAAAACTGAATTAAAAAAACTAAAACTGAATTAAAAAAACTAAAACTAAAAATTAACTAAAATAAATAATAAACTATAACGATAAGATTATCTAAATTACGTTTGCAATAAATAACTTTGAACCTTTTATCTGTACTAATATTATTATAATATAATATTATGCGAAAAGTAAATAAAGTAACAACAAACTACATATAACAGTTATTTAATAAATGCGCACATTTAAAAGTTAAAAAAAGATTCTTAACAATTCTTCACAGTAACAAAATAAAAAATAATTAAATCGTTTATTTAAAAAGTTGATATAAGTTTTTTTTATTTAAAGATATTTATAATACAAAAATACTTATATAAATATATATATATATATATATATATATATATATATATATATATATATATATATATATATATATATATATATATATATATATATATATATATATATATATATATATATATATATATATATTATATATTATTCATTAATATTTTTGTAAAAAATCATTAGCAGTGATTTGTTTCTTTATTTAAATGTGTTTCAATTATAAAAAAACGTAAGTAAAGATCTTTTTTTTTCTTTGACAAAATATTTCTACCTTTCGAGTTAATTAACTAAAATGATTCTAATATAGAATTTATCAAAGAGACCATCGCTGTTAAAAGTCGTCCCTTATAAAATTAAATTTTTTTTTTAATAATTTTCACTTTTTTTAATTTACTTATAAAAAAATTATATAATATAAATAAAAAATTTATACAACTTTCAATGATACTTTAATTAAAATCATTAGCTACTTTATTTAAAAGCATTTTGCTAATATAACAACGTTAGTAAATATGTAAAGTAAACATGTTGAAGTTATTTATTTTCAACGTAATTAAAAATAGATTTTTTCAGCGCATTTGTTAAAAACTAAGATTAAATCGTTAAAATAGAATATTATTTGCATGGTCATATAAAGACTTGAAATGGCACATCTTCCTGGCCAAGCCTGATTATATATATATATATATATATATATATATATATATATATATATATATATATATATATATATATATGCCTCGGCAGGAGTAAATGTGTGCAAGAGCAGAGAAAAGCTCTTCTAGAACAAACATGGCAAGCAATGTGAACTGATTCTCTAAACAGCTTTCTTACAAGAGCTTTTGGTTTTTGCACGAGCTATCTGTTTATTTATTTCAAAAGCTGCTTATTAAATAGAACATTTGGTTTTATACTTGTTACAAGCATATGTTTGTAACGTTAATGTTACAAGAATATATACATAACAAGCAACATTTATTGTTTTGCAAAAAAGTTCTTTAGGTGAGTGTTATCTTTAGGTTTTCACACTAGCTATCCATTTATTTATTAATAACATTAGTTATTTGATAAATTAATTGACAAAGAACTATAAAAGTTTTTACTGCTTATTGAAAATGTTTTATATTTTCTTACTCTAATAGAATGCAGGTAATTTAAGAATTATTACAACAATTAAAAATTCCACTATAAAAGTGAATAATTATTATAAATATTAAAATAATTACAATATAAAGTAAATAATTCATTACAAAAATAAAAATTATTATGCAATAGTTTAAAGTGTAATAATTTTTTTTTTTATCATTTAAATAATTTTATATCTTATCAATATAATTTAAAGTGGAATAATTTTATATTTAACAAATAGTTCAATCTAATCAAAAACATTTGCATTTAAATCAGCGCTTATTTAAATTTTTTATTTTTTTGCAATAACCGTCTTTAAAAAAGCATTGCAATTAAATTATTATTTTTTTTATAAAAATAACAAGATAGCATGAGCTAAAGCTCTCACTTCTTGCTGAAGCAAGTATGCATATATATATATATATATATATATATATATATATATATATATATATATATATATATATGCATACTTGTATCTAAAGATGTCTTACTTCACTGCATACGTTAGTTTAATATGTATTGTATACAATTACATTTAATATATTACATCTATTTTTTTAAATTGTAATTCCAGCCTTTTTTTTAACAGAGTTTTATTACCTAAATAAGTTATTTCTTTATATAAAGTTTTAAAATTAAGCATTATCAATTACTTTTTAGGTTTCAACCTTAATGAATCTATCACAGAAGAATATCCTGGTCAGATGTTATATTTATTATTTTTTCTTATACTTTTAGTCAAAATTATTCAGCTCTTTTTGTACAAATTTAGAGAGAAATTCAAAAATTGTTTTATTTAAAGCTTTGTTAGTTATCAGAAAAAAAATTTTTTGTTGTAGAGATGCAATGAAGTGATATTTGTTGTTGTAGAAATACAAAGAAGTGATTACTTTGTTTTGGGTGAAAAAGAAAAACATAAAAAGGAAGCAGTGAAACCCCTGTTTGGTATTTTGTTAAGATCAATTTTTTATATTATTATTTTTTTATTGTATATTTTCTTATTATATTGTATGCATATTTTCTTTCACTGTTTACATATATTTTTGCATATCAGGTGCAAATCATTGGGAACTTGATGAATTGGATATGTTAGATAATGTTTGTTTTTAATTTTTTAACACAAATGTTTTAACAATTATATATTGAAAAAAATGTTTGTATGTTCAATATGTTAAAATTAGGCAATACCCTTTAAAAACTATTTAAAAATTTTGATTTACATTGTTTATGTCTCATGCCAACCATATAAATAGTAAATGTCATTATTTTATTTATTTATGTTTTTATGACTTTTTGCAGAATGACTCTCAAAAAAATTTTAAACATGTTTCGCGATACTATGTAACTTCAAGTCTACCAAACATATTTTGTTACAATTGTGATGAAAGAGGACATTTAATGCGAGACTGTTCAAAGCCAAAGGTTCGAAACTTCATATTTTACTTATAATTCATTGTATCATTAAATGTTGTTTTTATAATTTTTTCTCTATATCTTTTAGAAAATTCCAACTTGTTATTTATGCGGTGGTAACCACGCACGCCATAAGTGCATAAATGATTTATGTTACAATTGCATGAATCCAGGGCATATATCAAAGGTATATTTTGGAAGCATCTAATTTGTTTCTTTTAAGTAGTTTCAGCTGTTTTTTGTTTTGTTTTTTTGTTTGGGTAAAGGTAATGCCATATGTGTAAAAAAATTTGAACTTTTCATAGGTTAGCTCTGCTAATTTATGGTGTGTAATTATTGGCATCTTTTTGAATTTTGTTCATATTTTATTTGGTTTTATTTTACTTTTATTTTTATTCAAAACATAAACAAAGTAAAATGATGTAATGCCATAACAATTGTTATATATGATTATATATATGATATATTAATGTTGAATTTAAAGCTGCTGCCGTTACTCATTTAAGTGTGTTTGACACAGAAGTCATGGCCATCATTACATTAGAGTTAATAACAAAAAAGTTTCCTATTACTTTTTCTTATAAGAAAATGTGAACAATAGCGTATGCAAATATCACTTAAAACTTATGTAAACTTCAAATTATGTAGTGTTAAAATTTATCAAGTATCAAGTATCAAGTTTTAGAGTTACTTTTACTTGAAAATTGCGTTGTGGTCTTTAATTTTGATTTATAGCATTTATTTGCTGTTTTATAAATTCTTTTTATTAAATAGTGTTAACTTTATTGAACTATAGGCCTTAGTGGCCAAAGTGCAGCATTTCTGAAGTGTATTGCAGTGGTTCAAATCCTACCTCTGGCAACTTTTTTTTTTTAATCTTTTGTGATTTTTTAAAATACAAAATACAACACTTTTTAAGTTTTATAGATATTATAAACTCATCACATATAAACATATAATATACTATAACAAACCAAAAGGATATATGTCATGATAAATATATTTATGTTATTAATGTGCTTAGTTAATTAGTCCTAATAAGCTGCAGATAGTCTGAAAAATACTATGCTCTGAAACTTAATAAAAAAAAAATTAGTAAGCCTGTTCTGCTACTCCAGAAGGTGCTGCTATGGAGGCAAAAAAAGCCCATAGCTACTAAAAATTTTAAAATATTACAAACAATTTTAAAATATAAAACAAACAATTTTATAAACCCTATAAGCTCTATGTATGCAGAAAAGGTGCATATGTTAATTTTTTTTGCTCCAAAAATAATTTTTTTTTAATGAACTGCTCTTTTACCATTGACCAACAAATATTGAAGTAAATAAGGATTAAGTATAGAAATGATTGATGTGTAATAGATAAGTATAGAAATGGCCGGTTTGGTGAAGACCTGTTTTTTACAGGCCCAGACAACTAGGATATATATTAGGAAAAATTGTAGAAAAGTTCAATGTGGAATAGACTTCCAAAGACACATATTTTGATGGGTCTGGTCAACTAGTATATCTTAATGGTAAATAAATATGGTTATGAATAAATAATGTAACAGTCATTATTATCACTTTAGCGGTTTCTTTCTTAGACAAATTGAACGATAATCTATAATTGAAGCTCTGCAAGTTGCTAGAAAGAAATCATCATAATTCAAGCTTTGTATCATCATAATTCAAGCTTTATATCATCATAATTCAAGCTTTATATCATCATAATTCAAGCTTTGTATCATCATAATTCAAGCTTTATATCATCATAATTCAAGCTCTTTAGAAAGAAAGTTGAAAAATAATCATTCCTCTTACTTTCTAAATAGTATATTTTGAATATTTTTGGATCATTTTTACTAAAAACAATCTTGCTTTTGTATACTGACTCATTAAATTTTTAAATTGAATAGTGTTATTTTTTTTGTTGATAAAATTAAGTGTTATTTTTTTTTTTTATAATCATCAAATTTAAATTTAATCCATCAAACTTTCAAACCTTATCCGCCTAACGTTCCCATAAGGGATCGCTGCAAAATAATAATATTTTTCACAATTACACATTGTTTTCTTTTATTTAATGTTGAAACATTCAAATAAATGATAACAATGTGTAGTTGTTAAAGTATGAAGCTTAAGTTACAATATTATTTTGAAATAATCCCTTAGAGGAACGTTAGGCTGATGAGATTACTGAGTTTTAAAAACCAATTTATTTAACTTTGTATAGGTTTGTGTTAATAAAACTAAATGAGTAATAAAAGTGATATTTATTCAAGACTTTCATGAGTTTTTATTGTAATTATTTATATACTATTTTTTGTATTGACATTATTTGCTTAAGTTTTGAAAAGATTATATTTTGAGAGGAATTTGACATAAATTGTCAATATTAACATAACAAATTAATGAACAAAACAATTTTTATTTACTAATAAATAAAACAATGTGGTAGTGGAGAGGAGAGGTTCCGAGTTTGATCCCCACCACATCTCTAGTGGCCTTCTCAGCCTTGGGGAGGTGAATTAATGTTTAAAAAAATAAAAAGGATAGATTAGTTTTAGTGAAATGTTTAAGTTTTAAATGATTTTTTTAAATTAAAAGTATCAAATTTTATTTTTGGTTGAAATAATTGAAATTATTTTATCTTATTAAAACATTAAAACAACTAATTGAAATTATTTTATCTTATTAAAACATTTTCAAATTTTTAATTCTGTTTTTTGAACACTTTATCATCTCTTAACTACAAGTTTCAGGTTTTATATAAACCTTCAATTTATTTTAGGATTGTAAAGAACCTCGTTTGTCATATCAACAGACATGTTTAAGATGTAATTTTCAGGGGCACACAAAAAAGGTATCCAAAATTGAAAATGACTGCTTAGAAACAATTTTTTTTTTTTTAATTTAATACTATTTTATTAAAAGTTTTGTTGTTTTTATTATCATTTTATCTTTATTGTTATTTTTATTATTATTTTATTGTTATTTTTATTATTATTTATTGTTATTTTTATTATTATTATTTTATCTTTATTGTCATAGAACTAATTATGCTATCATATTAATAATTGCTTTGATCTCTTTCAAATCTTATTGATTTTTTAAAATTTTGATCCTTAAGCAGGAAAAAAAGTTTTGTGCTCCTTTGATTCTAGGTTTTTTTTAATGTTGACAGACTATAATTCTTAGCTAGTATTAAACATTTATCAGGTATTGATTTCAAAACATAGACAAGTGACAAGTTAAATTATTTGTAAGCATTCATATTTGAGAAGTAGACATATTTTTGGTATAAATTTTTTCACTAACCACTGCTTTTTTCATAATGTTTTCATAATGATTTAAAAATATATAAAAAACTATTAAGTATTGTTTAAATTAAATATACAAAAACTTAAATTTAAACTATAACTATACTGTTTAAAAGTACAATAATATGTTCAAATGCAACATAATATATAATGAGTAATAAACTAATTTTCAATTTTATATACAAAATAAGACAGCAACTAATTTTCATATGATACACTAGAAAATATAGATAAATTACTTGATTTAGTCAAGTCTATTATTCTCTTTTAATACCTTGACCATTTTTATTAGTATTTTTATCATTCATCAGTTTAAAGTAGACTTTGACAATCCATATATTTTAGCTGCTATGCAGGAAAATGTTTCTTTTTTATTGTCATTTAGTTTTCTGCTTATTTGTTATTGATCAGTAGCGTAACAGTAGTGTAGTCTATGTGTAATGCTGATACCAAAAGAAAACTTGTAAAAGTGCTACAAGTGTTGTACCTGATGTGCAATAAATGAAGGTGTACTCCTTTGAAAACATTAGCTATGCTGTTATCTTTTTATATTTAGTTTTATTTATTTGATTATAGAATTGCCCAGAGATTTGGCGTCAGTACCATTTAACTGTAAGTTGTTTAGTACTGCATCCATAACTTTTTTTTCTTGTGTTATGTTTTTATTTGAGGATTATTTGTGTTAAGTTTTTATGAAGGATTGTTTTAAATATTAATTTAAAATATTCACCTTATAATATTAACAATTATTTCCTTAAAATAAAAGGCAGAACTATATACAATATATAAATTTTTTTTTATATTACTTTTATCTGGTTTTATTTTATTGAAGGTTGAAGATGGTAAAATTGTAAAGCCTAATAAATATAAAACAAACAAAACTCGTTATTGTTACAACTGTGCATCTAAAAAGCACTTTGGGGAGGTTTGTTTTTTGTTAAGTATAAGTTGTAGTTATTACTTCTATGAAATTTATTATTAACTATTGCTAAAAATATTTAGGACTGCTTGAAGCAAAGGTTTTCTTGCAGAATTTATTACTCTCAATTTGTTGTATGTTACGATAAATGTTCGAACACAGGCATTAAATCAAAGAGCCATAAAAATAACATAATTACTTCTGAAATAAAAGTTGATCGTTCCCATAAAATGAATAAACAGGACTCATCACATCTTACTCTTTGTAAAAACAAAAGTTCTGAAAATTTAAAGGAGGAAAAGTTAAACAAAAGTCATGAATTATATCTTGAGACCAGACTTAATGGCAGTATGAAATCGAATTCTCATGATAATTCCAAACTGAATATCAATTCCAATCTTGATTGCAATATTAAAAATTCTAAGACTGCCCAAAAAGAAAAAGTGAATGAAAAAGAAGCTTTAGGAGTTTCAGAAACGAAATATATGGGAGAAAATTTATATTCAAAAAAATGTTCAGAAGCTAAGAAAAAAGATAGAAAAAGGAAACACGCAACTGAGAATATTGAAAAAGATTCAGAAAGCAAAAAAGTAAAAATACATGAATCAGAGAAAGAAAAAAATGACAAGTCGTTGTCAAAATCTAAAAATAAGAAAAAATCTAAAGATGATCAAATTATAAAAAAAAAAGATAGGAAAATCAAAGAAGAAAAAAAAGAAAAGCGAAAGGAGCGAGAGCAAGACAGGAAAGAAAATTTTAAATTGTTTAATGCCATCAGTTCAAAAGTGAAAAAGCGTAAAGTTGAAAACATGTGGTTAAACAATGAAGATACAATACCAAATGAAATTCGCTTTTCAATGTTAAAAGAGTTTGGAATTTCTTGTGATAATGAAAACACAGATGATGAAGTATCAAAAGTACCAAAAAAACTAAATTATAGTTCTTTTTTAAGCAAAATAAAAGAAAAAGGTGGTATTGATTTTATTAAAAATGAAGATTTTATTCCTGTTGGTTTAGCGTCAGAAGAAGAGTTACGGTATATTCCTTTAAACTTTTTTTTTTTTTCCCTCTATTCTTCATTTGAAATTGTTTATTTGAAATCCAGAATTGTTGTATTAATGTTGTTTAAACAAAATAAGAAAGTAAGGTGGTATTGACTTTGTTAAATATGAATGTTTTATTCCTGATATATACCTTTGTTTATATCAAAATATATTCGAAACATTTTTTAGGGTAATAAAAATATTTTTAGTTATACTACTACAATTAAAAAGTTTGAAAATAAATACAATCGTCGCAGAAATAAGAAAATAGAGAAGAAGAAACAAGTATCAATTGAAATTTCCTCATCAGGAAAAAAACTTTCTTTAACCCCTAGTCTCGATAGTAAGTAATTAGACTGATATTTACATTTTATACTGACAGTTACTACATTGGACAATAATTTGCGAAATAAGTAATTAACATGTTTGAGTTTTATTTTGACTGACAACTAAATTATCAAATGTTCTTTTAAGATTCCATTGTCAGGGTTTTGTCATGCGCAGTAAAATCTTAGATAAAATTAAGTTTTGCACTGCTCTCTATTACATAAACCAAATGGAGTTCATATCACTAAATTAAATGTTTTATGTGCTTTTAAATATATTAATTATAATACATTTATTTTAAAATAGATTTTCTTAGATTTTTTGTTTTGTTTAAGAACATTAAGTTTAGAAACATTTATTTTTAGAAGTTACTCTAAACAATGTTCGAGATATCATTTTGTATTCAGACCCTGAGGAAGAAGTTGATTTAAGGTCTCAAGAGGCGATTTTACGCTCTAACCCTGAGATTAATATATCCGATGAAGATGTTTCTTATGATCACGATTTAATTAAAGACAAAGTTTTTTCAAAAAAGTCTTATCATAATGGAAAATTGATTGTAAGTTTTTATTTTTTATTTGGAATTGCGTTTATATTTTTGCTTTAAAAATTAAAGTCACGGTAGTGATTTCTGATTGGCTGATTTTTTTTCCTTCTATTTAAAAAATGCATGCCCAAACCAAAACCCTTAATCGTGTATGTGCGCTCCACTGCGCCTATCCCTTAATCAACCAATATATGCAAATAATAAAAATCAATGTAACTTTCAATATACAACAATAATAATAACTTTCAATAAAAAATAGTTAAAAAACATTTAAATTTTTTTTTTCTAAATGAAGGGCTTGATTCCGGATCTCCGTAGAAAATGAATCAATGAGATGCCACAATGCTAAACGTACAATGTACAACTGTAATTCTTTTTAAATTTGTACAAATAAAACTTTCAAAATCAACCAATAATATTCGCAGCCGTGACTTAAAATAAACCAATCGAACTTTACTATCGTGACTTAAAAATAAAAAATTAAAGTAACGGTACCGCTGCGCTAGCCACAACGTTAAGTTTTATTATAAAGTTCAATATTTATATTTGCTTATATAATTCAATATTTATATTCTATGTAAGTTTAAATTTTGATAGTCTTTAAGGGTGGTTTATCTTTTTTAAATAAAAGATAAACCGCTCTCAACATTATTTTGAAAGACGAGGCGTGAAAGGTGAAGGCCTATATTTATTCCAATAAAATGAATTATTCTTAAATTTTAGGTTTTAAATTAAGGTTAATAATTAATTTGATTTCAGGGTTGTTTAACTCAGTACAATCCAAACGAAGTACACCAAGACCATTTGGTTACCTATGGACTTATCAAACCTACTCAAGATTTTAAAAGAGATTTGATAAAAAACGGTTCTCAAAAGGTTTTTGTATGTAGTACTACAAATGTTTTACATTATTTGTTAATTTTGTTATTTTATATCAATTATTGAAATCAAAATTAATTTTATTTTAGAATTTAAAATCAGTCGATGAAACGAAACGCGTGCACAAAAAATGGTTCCGTTATGGTTCAAGTAATAAGAAAAATAGTCAATTAAATTCATCGAAAAATAAAATAGTTTTTCGTGGTTTCCAGTCGTTTATGACAAAGAAATAATATTTTGATATTAAATTTCAATAATTTTAATTAATTACAATATTTATAATAAAATTTTTTCCAGTTACTCGCATTTCATTTATCCTTTCAATCAAACCATTTCAATATGTTTTAATATATATATATTTTAATATATTTTTAAAACTAAATTAAATCATTAAAAAAAAATATTCTTCAGTTTTCTTTATTTTTTTAAACTTGATTGTAGAAAAAGATTTCGATGGAGATTTCGGGGAGCAGGAGAGGAATTTTTTAATCTTGTTAAAATCTTGGAAAATTCATTAATGGAATTTTAAATTTTTTTCTTGTAATTGATTCCATAAATTTTTAAATATGGAATTATTGTTAAGAGTCTATTTGGTAAAGTAAGTCATTCAACAAAGAGCTATTTTTGTTGAATCAGATGCAAGCTTACAAAAATGAAACAGTGTTTAATGCTCGGCAGAGAGCAGGTCTAACTTCATTTACAATAAGTTTTTGAACTATTTCTAGAAGAAAAAATAACATTAGAAAAACGAGTCAAAATATGACAACAGTAATCCATACAGGGAAAAGTAAGGCTTTGTAGAGGAAGAGAATGGAATCCGGAATAAGAAAATGGTAAGCATAGCAAAGAGGTATAACCTTGACAGGTGTTAACTTTTGCTTTTTTCCAAAATGCCAAGGTTCATGGCACTCAGGGAAAACCAGGGAAAAGTTTTTAAAATTTAGAAAATCAGGAAATACCTGGAAAAGTCAGGGAATATTTGTTAAAAATCTGTAAAATCAGGGAAAACTCAGGGAATATTGTTCAGTATTATATTTAGCTTGAAGTTATTTTGCAAAATACACATTTTGAGTGTTTATTGTTGTTGAAACTTGCTCACTAAAGTGTTTTTTTAACTTTTATATTATATAGTAACTATATGTTTAGCTAAATGTATAAATAAATATAATAATATAAGACATGACTTCAGAAAAGACTTATTTTCAAGAGGATTGGTTACAACAAGATATTTATAAAGATTGGTTAGTTCCCAACGCACATGCAAAAACTAAAGCTTATTGCAAAAAATGTAAAAAATCATTTGAATTGTCCAATATGGGTATTCAGGCTGTTAAAAGTCATGCAGCAGGTATTTACATTAACTTTTTTAACGTGAGAGTGAGAATTAAAAAAAAAATGTTGCTTGATTGATTCATTATTTTATATTTTAATATTAGTTTCAAACACATTGTAATCAACTTTTGATTGCAACCTGTTTTAGTTGTTTTCCTTGTTGGTTGGTTGCTTATATTGTAATTTCAAACTTTGCAAGCTAAACAGATTGAGAAAAAAGATAAAAAATTTTAGACATTTTAAATGTTTCATTATTTATTTATCTTGTTTTAGGTAAGAAGCATCAGTCTGCTACAAAGCCTGTTAGTTGTTTCTTTATTAATGGAAAAGAGTTGCATGCTGAACCACTTGGAAGTGAGGAAAAAATATCCACATTTTTCACCAAAAAACAAGCAACTATTGTCTCTTTAATTAAATCATCGTTATCAACTAATGCTGAGATCATATGGGCCCTGAAATCTACAATGAGCTGCTACTCTAATAACTCATGTGCAAATTTAAACGACACTTTTAAAAAGATGTTTCCTGATAGCAAGGTAGCAGAAGATTTCACTATGAGCACCTCAAAAGTATCATACATTGTTAACCATGGACTAGCCCGATACTTCAAGACACTTTTAAAAGAAGAAATCACAAAGTCTGATTGTTAAATTGTATCTTTTGATGAGAGTTTAAACGACATAAGCTAAACTTGTCAGATGGATCTACTTGTTCAATATTGGGATGGCAATGACAAAGTTAAAGTGAGATATTGGACATCAGCATTTCTTGGTCATTCTGCAGCTTTTGACCTTCTTACACATTTCAACGAAAACTTATCAAGATTTGATTCAAGTAAAATGTATCAAGTTTTCATGGATGGTCCATCCATGGACACCTTTAACAGATTGCTATAAATTAATTAAAGACAGTCTCTGATTTCTTAAAAAATAGTGATAAAAAGTATTTAGGGAACAAGGATTCAGTTGCAATAGTATTATATTTTTCAACATTGATAGGCAAAATATTTAGACTTTTCACCGCACGAACTCAGGGAAAAAATACTTGAAAATCAAGGAAAACTCAGGGAGAATGGTTTTTCAAAAATGCCATGAACCCTGAATGCTAATTCGTCATTCAGTTTTGCGGCAAGACAAGATGCAAAGTAAAGTTTAAAGCACCAGCTATAAAATGAGTGGTTTAACAACACAATGTCACATAAAAAAAAAATACAGTGGTCGTGGAAGGTTTACTCACTATTCAAAATGTAAAATTAAACTGTTTTTGCTGCAAACTCTTTGCTCCTTTAGTTACAGATTGATCCGGGGGGGGGGCTGTCTAGCCCCTCAACGAATTTTATAAGTCGGTTTATTTTTATTTATTTTTTTTAGATAAGTTAGTACACAAAAAAAAATTTTTTGCTTTAGTCGGCAAAAAACAAACGCCCCTTCCGTCCTTTAAGATCTCTTCGGAACAGCCCTGGTTGCCTCAGTTCTAATATTCTAAAAAAAATCTGAAAAATTGTTCATTTGACATATTAACAAGTCAAGCGAAAGATTACAATAATGCTGCTATGACTGGAATCAACGGAGGAATACAAACCATTCTGAAAAGAAAAAAAAGTATGCTGTTTTTAAAAGATGTATGAGTTATTTGTTTAACTTGTGGTGTTAGCAATCTTGCTGATAATGCATTGTGCGCAACATTTTTTGAAATTCTTTAGAGTGTATTAGAACTTTAGAATACTTCTGCATAATGAGTGAACCCAAATAGTACCTACTGCTACATACTCAAGAAGAGAAAAAGTAAGAAAAAGATGCTAAACTTAACCCACAACCTCTTGCCGAGATAAGAGGTTATCACACGAGTATTTTGGTTGCTTTAATTTTTAACTTTAGATTATATCTAGAGCTATTTTAAAAAGTAGTTGAAATGCCTGACCATTTTTCAGACAAGACTGATCTATTGTAACTGTTTTTTCTACATCTAATAATAGTCCACTAAGTAACCGATGAGCAAATGTATATATGACTATACTAAATAAAATATAGCATAATGATGCTCGAGTATCATATAAGTCATATAACTCATGGTATAACCTATTATAACATTTCGGTGTGAGATATAGAATGCAGATCTGCACTCTATGTGACGCTCAAAAAAAAATATTTTTAGACACTAGGGAGCCTTAAACTAATACGTCCACCTTTAACTCTATGAAACATCTTACATATTTTATAAAAATAAATATGCATTTTTAGACAGTAAAGGCGATAGTTTACTTCCTTCGGCCCTTCCTACGGCCGGTAGCATATAGAGCCTAATATAAAATTGTAGCTTACTTAGGCATCTATTTTTTGATACAAACTATAGATATTTAGTTAAGAGTTGACAAAACATTTTAGCTATAGACATTTAGATAAGAATTGACAAAATATTTTAAGTTTAGTATCACTGAATTTTGATGACAATTTTTCCAATAAGTTCATTTATTCATAATTTATTACTTAAAAAAACATAACATTTTGTAGAACTGTTCGATTTTCATAACTTTTTTAAAATAAAAAAATTATATTAATATATTTAACATCATATCTATTAAAAAGAATTAATTCGGTCAGCTTTTAAAATTAAAACTAACTTGGTGATTTTTTTTGTAAAAAAGATTAAATTACTAAGGTGCTTCATTTGTTAATATAAAACAACGTTACTTTCTTGTTTTTGTCTTCTTAAAGTAGTTTAGTGGAAGTGGTACAGGCAGGTACCGTAAAATTTATCGCTTTAGGAGGGGGGGGGGGCGGTAGGCAGTTTAGAATACCAAAAAAAAAATTTTTTAATTTCTTACCAAAAACTGTGCAAAACAAAGAGCATTTTGAACAAGAAATAGTAAATAGATTTCCCTAAAAATCCTGTATGATAAACAGCTCCAGTTTATGGAACTTAATGATAAAGGATAAATGTTAGCTAAACATGTAGTTTCATTACCAGTTTCTCAAAACGGCGTGATTCTCAATTCAGAAAAATGGTGCTAGCAAGCTAAGAAAACTAGATCTAGTTTTTTTAGCTTGCTAGCACCATTTTTCTGAATTGAAAGTATCGATACTTACCTAGCGCAGTGGATATTCTAATAAGAAACTTTTTATGTAATATTGCTTATTGCTTAAAGTTGTATCAAAACACTATGTACAAATAACATAATATGACATAACACTAAGATGTGGCGTAACGCACCTGATGTGATTTATAAATGGTTTTCAGAACAGTTAGTCTATCGTGTTTTAATCTTTTTAATTTGAAGCGTTTTTTCATCAAAATAAATGCTAAATGGGTAGAGAGAAACTTAAATTCTTCATCTTTTGTTCAAAGTTTGTGAAACAGCTAAAAGATAATAATGTTAAAAAAAAGGAAGAAAAAAATAAAAGGCAATACTGAAAAAAAAGGCAAGTGGTTAGGTTTCAATGAACTACCTTCTTGCTATATTTTTTTTCTTTATCTAAATCTAAATCTTGTATTGGATTGTCTTTCAGTCCTTTACACAATTATCTTTACACAGATGAAAATGAAATGTTTACTTTACACAGATGAAACTGAAATGTTTATTCCAAAACCTTGCAATCTACATTTATGTAAATTTACAAATAATTAATATATTTCTTTAACTAATTCTAAAAAGCTAAAATTAAAACAAAATAAAGATGCAAATAAGCAAAAAAGTAAACAAAAGTTCACTTCTAAAATAATGCATAAGTGTGTTAGCTTGACATTTAACATTTAACATAAATATATATATATATATATATATATATATATATATATATATATATATATATATATATATATATATATATATATATATATATATATATATATAGGGGAAAGCGGGACAACATGGCGAATGGGACAAGATGGGTTTTCGTATAACAACTCAACAAAAAATTTTAAAGTTGATTAA